GGTCTATGTGAGATGACACTAAGCTGCCATACCTCTTGAACTTCATGTAAATAAAATGTGGCCTGCATTCGAGAACATGGTTTCCCAAAGCATTTGTGAAAGATGAAAATCTCAAAAGATTAAAATGATGGCATTTAAAAAAAATAGACATGCTTCAGAAACATCATTTTGGTCAAATTCATAAATGATGTGCTGAGGGAAGAAAAGCTGCAGACACAAAGGAGTATTACCATTTCTACAGAAATCTCCACACAAAAGAAGCTGGGCTCATATTTGCATTTTGCTCACAGTATCCTGAAAATGCAAGCCATCAGCTTCGAGCACAGTTCCCTCGCTCATTCTCTGGCAGCAGCCCTGGCGTTGGCATTAAGAGATTGGCACGTTTGCCTGTGACAGCAAGGACATCCCAGGGGCTGTGGGGTGAGCTAAGGTCATCGTTGCAACAGTAGGCTTTGTCTCGTAGGGGACCCATTGGTTGATAGGGAAAAACACCAACATAGAATTGTTTTGCACAAGCAAATAATGAATTAAGTCAGTATAATCTCACAGAATAGTAGTTTTGTCTAACTGCCACCAAAAAAGCGTCTTAATGGGGTTTCAGCACTAAGTGGTAGCATTACAGGTGATTTAAGATATAAAGTTTCCCCAGAGATAGCTATCTTCTTTTTTGTAAAGAATGACTTAGAAAGGAGAGTAGCCTTCTGGAGTGCCATTCGTCCATTCCTCAATAGGGTAAGAGGTACTAGAACACACGAGGTGAGGCCACCCACTGTGTGCCTCATCTAGCAAGGGTTGTATTGAGCATCTGAAGGATCCATTTGACAGATCTTTATGGTGCACCTCTGTTTGGGGCTATGCACTTTCCAGTGGCTGGGGATGCCACAGTGAAGAAGGCAGGAGGGATCCTCACCCTCTAGAGCTCCATCTTCCAGGGAAGACGGACAGTGAGCCTTCCCTAGCACAGACTCGGGGGGCAGGCTGTCGCTGAGCAGAACCCATCGTAGGAGGAGGTGGGAGAGTGCCTCCAGGAAGAGGTGACTGAGCCCCTAAGCATAAACGAGAGAAGGGCAGAACTGAGAAAGTACACCCAGCAGAAAGAACAGCTTGTAAAGGGCCTGTGGGTTTTTGTGTTTTTTTTAATTTATCTTCTCTCCCTCACCCAGAAAATTCAAGGATGCCCAGGTTGTCCAGTGTTACATACAACATTTTCTTATTTTCATTAATTAAAAAAAAAAGACACAAAAACACAACTCTGTGTTTTGCATAGAAGCATATACATTTATATAAAAATATTTTGAATGTCTCAGAAGGAAACCACTAAATTTATGACAGTGGTTGCTTCTGAGAAAGGAGGGGGAAATAGGGCCTGGGATGGGGACAACAGAAACGTCATTACATCTGAAATTTGTCATTTATTTTATTAAGGGAAAGTTAAAGATGTGCTGACAAAATATTAAGAATACCAGTTCTGGATGGTTGGTATCCAGGTGTTTGTTATATTACTCTGTGTCTTTCTATATATTTTTTTATATCCTTAGCAAAGAAAATCAAGGATATAGATTATAGATTTTTCAAATGGGAGGGTCATCTTTCCGTAGTCCTTTAGAATGACAGTCTAGGAACTCTCAGCAAATTTCTCATCACAGGGCATCAGACAATCCTGATCATTCATGGACGGTTGTGTTATAGTGAAAGGGTTCCCTGCCGTATGCATCTCCCTTGCAATAGAATTTCTCTTAGGCCTTTGGTGAAAGATGGCGTTCGTCTCTGGTTACAGTAGACCCACAGCCACATCTCCTCTGCATCCTCCTGTCTAAAGAGTTTTTGCCAGAATTGTTAGGATCAGCATGAGTTCAAAATTCAGTGATGTCACCTTGTTTCTATTGCTAAACATATTTGTGTCTCTTCTCACAGAAGTTTCAGCTTTTCATTGCAATGGGACCATGTAAGGAACTTCTGAGAAGGACATGGGACATAGCATCCAAGGCTGTATCCCATTCAGCAACCTAACTACAGAAATGAATCAACAGAATGATCTAGAATCAAAGAACTGAGACCTTACCAGTGAAACACCCTCCTCTGCTCCTCCTGCTGCATCATCTAAAGACCCCAGGATCGTCTTCCTCCTGTCTTGTAAAGTTTAGCCCGTGGCTCACTGTCATTGCTTCACCATTCTTTCTTGTCATGATTTTAATTTCAGTATCTATGTAGATGATTCTTTTGGGTCTTTAACCTCCTCTTCTCCAATGAGCTTATTCTCCATCGGTCCTCAGCCACCCACTTCTATTGTCCTTACCTTTGTCTCTTCCACAATCTAGGGGGTGACTGTCCTCACCCCACTGAGCTGTGATTTCTGTCCTTACCCAGTGTGGAAGCCACGGTCCATCATCGTGATCATTCGCCCGCCTGCGTCCTCACCTCTCTTGGCCCTGCCACCCCCCAGGGTCCTTGCTCGGCAGACTCCACCCCTCTCCCCCTGCCAACCACCCTGCTGCTTAGATCCAACTCTTGCCTGCGCTACACCCCCACCCAGGGAGCTGAATGCGTCTGGGGAAAAGCCACAGGTGTGCAGGGAGGGCGCGCTGCCACCCCACTCACTTCCCGTGGGCCTCGGGGCTCCCTGTGCTCCCACTGCTCGGCCTGAGCCCATTTGCACACCTTTGCTCTCAACTCTCAGTAGCTCCTTTCACATCCATTCTTGGTCCTTGTGACTTTGTTTCCTATTTCACTAAGGCAAGAAAAGCAATCAGGAGAAAAATTTCATATGATCTCACAACCTCACCTGCTAACCGCCCTGCGTCTGCCTTCGCTCTTCTCACCGGGTAGAACTATCCATGCCCCTGTCTATGGCCAGCCCCTCCATCTGTACTTGGTGGGCCAAATCTTCCCTTGTCTGCTCTCCAGCAGTTCTCCCTCGCTCTGATTTTACCAGTTTTGCCCTCTCCGTAGATTTTTCCCCATTGGCATGCAAACCTGCCTCACTACCGCTCATTCTTAAAGTCGCGTCTTGACCTCACGTCCCCTCCCCGCCCTTCCCTCGTTGCTCTGTTCATCTTTCCAGCAGAACCCCTTCAAAGGCTGCCCATATTCATTATCCCCGGATCCTCTCACTGCATTTTCCCTTGATCCTTCCCTTCTCAGGCTTTGTCCTCCCGGGCTCCTCCAAAGCAGCCTCGTCCGTCACCAGTGACCTCTGGTTGCTAAGAGCAGTGCTCATCTCCCTTGACCGAGCAGCCGCTCTGACTCAGCTGTCCGTCCTCCTCCATGTGCTCTCTTCACCTGGCCTCTGGGCACCACGGCCTTCTGGCTGTCTCCGACCTACTGACTCAGTCTCGGCCTTGGTTTGACCTCATCGGGAAGGCCTGATGGCCCCGCAGTGCCCCAGGGCTCCATCTGCAGACCTCTCCCCTGTTTGTGTACACTCACTCTGTGGGTGGATGGGTCTCCCGCCTTTGAATTACCTTCAACACAGTTTATCTGTACTTTTACACAAATAGCCATTATTCAAGCAGGGATAATGCAAATTAAATTAATTTAGTTCACAATGTTTTTCTTGGCTGGGAATGTTTCAGTGATCCATGGAGAGCTGGCTTATATTTAAGGTTATAGATGTGGCATCACATTTTGATAATTTTCTGATCATAGGATAAACAGAGATCGTATACAAAAAAAAACAAAACCAGGGAAGTTCTACAACAGATATCTCAGTGAGAATATTTAAAAATTAAACTGCATTTTCTTCTATCAGCTTCTTAGACTGTGGCTGTGGAGCTTCTGGTATTCACACCATTTCAATAAGCTTTGAGCAATTAGAAGGCAACAGTGGAAAGCCAAAATATCCCCCGTCGTGTGACTACTCTGTAGAGTTTTTACCATGGGGTGTGTATGTGTTTGATACCCAAGGCAAGTAGCACCGAGACACTTCATCTTCTCATAGGAAAAAGCAGATTCATGGCGCTGAACTCGCCAACATGGGAGGCTGTTAAAGCATCTGTTGAGACTTCCAAGTCTGAGATAGTTAAGTAAGGTGAATATAAACCAACCCCTGTTGGTTGTGGATTGTTGTTTAAAATCACTGGCCTTTGTCATCTGTCAGGTTTCTACCAAATGAAATTCCTACACTGTTCAGTGGGGATCTCATTTGAAAAGCGAAGAAATCTGATCCAGACTTTATGATTAAACTCGAACAAAGAAGTTAAAAGGTGGTGTGAACTGGGAAAGAAATGGGGCTTTTGTTAGAATCCTGCCAAATGTTTTTTTTCTACCTACTCAGGGACCAATAAGAATTATGTGGAGGGAATTAATAGTGAAGAATGTGTTGTGAGAAAGTGAAGACTCATCTTTTCCATCAGGTTATTGTGTTTCAAGGCTGCCTGGTATTTAAAGTTTTCACCTGGGAAACACAAAAACTCAGTGACTTTGAGAGGAGATGACACAACAATTACTCAGCTGATGTAGTAAGTGTAGAGAGTTGACCTGAATTTTGTAGGACCCAAAGTGAATTATCTATAAATTAACTGCATGATTGCCAAATAACCCCTTCATTTTGAACTTTATCGAAACATTCAACTATTGATTGTGCTATTGTATTGTTTGTGAAAAGTGACATCAGGTGTTTCTTTGCCAGCAATCTCTGGGTGCCGTGGTGTTTTAGGATATGCGAATGTGTACTAAGGTCCAGTCAGGACTGGTGTTCTTTGTAAACAATTAATGTATCAATATGACTGATCCAATATTTTGCAACTTGTTGAGATACACTTGCTAGAAATAAGATCGTATATTCCAGAGAATTGTGGGGTTTGTCAAAAGAGAATAAATACTTATGTTTTATTAGGAATACATTGGGTAGGAAACTTCTTCTGGCTTAGTTCAGATTTGAGGGAACGAACTATCATCTTGGATGTTATACTTTTATCATTCACTTAAATAGTTGGCTAGATGTGAAAGCCTCCGACACTGTTTTCATGACACAGTTTTCCAACCCACCCTTTTCTTGGCAGGTTCCTGAAGGAAAAGTAGTAGTTCTTAATTTCCGGTTCATAGACCTTGAGAGTGACAACCTGTGTCGCTATGACTTTGTGGATGTGTACAATGGCCATGCCAATGGCCAGCGTATTGGGCGCTTCTGCGGCACGTTCCGGCCTGGAGCCCTTGTGTCCAGTGGTAACAAGATGATGGTACAGATGATTTCCGATGCCAACACAGCTGGGAATGGCTTCATGGCCATGTTCTCTGCTGCTGAACCGAATGAAAGAGGTATCATTTCCATATAATGCATTTCCATATAATGGTGGCTTGCAGTTATTGAATGCTTACTGTGTGTCAGACATAGTTCTAGGCTCTTTATATGTATTTACTTAATTAATCTAAAGTTTATGAGTAGTTCTTCTAAGAGAGCTAATAAATGCCACCAAACCACTAAGATACCGTTTTTTTTTTTTGTCCACATATGCTCTTGAAAAAACCCAAATATAGAAATCCATGGAGTAAAAGTGTGAAGCTTGCATACATGCATACACATTCCAATACAGAAATACAGCCCTTTACCCCATTGTAGTCCCCTCTTCGAAGTAAACACAGCTGGTGGCTCTCTCACCTTTCTATGTGAACTTACACATATATGCTTCTGTGATAACTTTTCATCATACCTTCATATTGTTTCACAACCTTTCTTTTTACCTAATACTATGTTGGGATATTTTCATGTAAGCTGCTGAGGGTAGAAACCTCTACCCTTGAAAGGTAACTGCAGCAGGCAGATCTGTGCAGTTTGCAGCCTTCTGCCTGAGGGCTCTCCCTAACCTGCCCTTGCCCTGGGCTAAAGTGCATCATTCCTGGTTTGAGATGTCAGAGGACAGAGTCTGGGGCTGACAGAGCAGCCAGGATGTTTGGGAGGAAATCTTGGCCTGAAGCTACAGAGGAATTGAGGCAGAAAATGTACATATAAAATCAACCCAAGTCTTCACCTGACAGCTCAACTCTGCACATGCTGGAGAGAGGCGTCACCTGGGGGATGAAGGAGCTGACCAGGTTACCGCTGCTGCCCAGTGCCAGGGAGACACACAGAGCTGCAATTGAGCCAAGCGAACGCCTACTAGAAAAATATCATTTTTCATAGGAACACAACAGAATCTAGAGTTTCTGTAAAGTGTCATTCATAATGTCCAGTATCTAATCATGTAACGAAACTGGAAAAGTATGTTCATGTTCAAGAAAAAAAAGCAATCGGTAAAAACTCACCCCAAGATATGTGTTGCAATCTATGTTGCATTTAGCAGAAAAGCACTTTAAGACAGCTATTCTAAATATGTTGAAGGACTTAAAGGGAAATATGTGTATAAGAGATAAACAGATTGAGAATTTCAGAAGAGAAACAGAAACTATTTAAAAAAATAATAAAATTGTAATTCTAGAACTGAAAGATACAGAACTGAAATTCTACAATTTACCTCATGGGTTTACAAGCAGATTGGGGTGGTAGGAGGGAGAGTCAGTGGATTTGAATAAAAATGATCCCATCTGAGGAATCAGGAGGAAAAAGATTTTCCTAAAAAGAGCCTCAGAGACCAGTGAGACAATATCAAGTGATCTAACATTTGTGCAATTTGCATCTCAAAGGAAAATAGTATAGAAAAATATCTGAAGAAATAATGGCTTGAAGCTCCCCAAATTTAGTGAAGAACACATCAATGTATACAGCCAACAAGATCAACAGACCCCAAACAGGATAAATAAAAATGAAGCCACACTTAGGCACATCAAAATCAAATTATGAAAATCTAAAGACACTCTTAATATCAATCAGATAAAAGCCATATTATATACAAGACAACAATGGTATGAGCGATGACTTTCTTGTCACCAAAAACAAGGAGGCCAGAACACAGTGGAACAGTATTTTTAAAGTTGTGGAGTAAAACTGTCAGCCGAGAAATCTATAGCCAGTCTTCAAAAATGAAAGTGAAATAAAGACATTTTCAGATAAACACTTGCATCACAAGAAGTATTGAAGGAAGTTCTTATGTCGAAGGGAAATGGTTCCACAGGTCCACACAAAGGTAATGGAAGGATTGAGGGCCACTGGAAGTAGTAAATATGAGAGACTATATATTATTTTCCTCTTTTTATATCTTTCCATGCCTGTTCCAAACAAAACCTTAGCACTGTTTGTAAAATGTATAATGTAATAATAGTATATGATACGATGTAATATATATTGGCAATAATAGAACAAAGGATAGAGAGGTAAATGAAACTATATACTGTTGTGCATACACACACATCCATAGGCGGTACATGAAGAAATACATTATTAACTAAGCACATTGTGGTAAGTTAAAGATGCATGTTGTGATCCCTAGAGTACCCATTAAAAATGCAAGAGTTATAGCTGAAAGCCAAAAGACTAAAATAGATATTAAAATTATACTACTAACCCAAAGAAGACAGGCAAGGAAGAACAGATGGAACAAAAGAGAGGTGGGACAAATAGAACAAAATAGCACATGGCACACTAAATCCAAGCATATCAATAAATACATTAAAATGCAAAGGATTAAATACTCCAATTAAAATATAGTGATTTTTAGACTGAGTTAAGAAGCAAAGGCCAACTATGGGTTGTTTACAAGGAAGCACTTGAAATACAAAGACAAAATAGGTTGAACATACAAGGATGGAAAAATGTGTGTCATGCAAACTTCATAAAAATTAAAATAATGCTTATAAAAAGACATTATTACAAAGATAAATAAGCAACCTACAGAATGGGAGAAAATATTCACAAAAATATGTAATAAAAGACTTGTATTCAGAATATACAAAGAACTCATGCAACTGAGCAATAAAAAGATCGAGATCCCAATAAATATAAAAATGGGCAAACACTTAAGCAGATACTTCACAAAGGAGGTTATATGAATGACTAGAAGTACATGAAAAACTGCTCAAGATCACTAGTTAACAGGGAAATGCAGATTAAAGCCACACTGAAACACCATTATATCCCTACCAGATTGGAGACTGGGCAGCAGTATTGATAAAAAGAATAGTGGAATGATGATAATTGTTGATGGATACACAGATGTTCACTATATTATTCAATTTACTTTGTATATGCTTGAAATTTTCCATTAATAAAAAGTTTTAAACATTCCAACCTCAATTTTTATAATACATTTTCTTAAATTTAGAGATTTCATTTAGGAATGATTATCTTCTGTGTCAAAGAAATATTTCATTAAAATATATTAATTCCTTTAGTATCAATTCACTTTATTAGTAACTTCAAATAAAATTAAATTGAGAACTTTGTATTAAAATATTTCTCTGAAATTATTCCTATCAACCTATCAGTAATTTGCACAGAGATATCTGAAATTATCTTTGTCAAGTATTAATAGTGGTTAGTTTCAGGTGGTGAGATTTGGGATAATTTTTTACTGTCTATATGCTTTTTTGTACTTCTGAAAATTTATAATCATGTATTGTTTTTATAAACAGTTATTCTTAAAAGTTGTTAAAGATGTATAGCATGTAACATTTTCTGGTAATGAAAGTTTTCTATACCAGCTAATTCAAATTTTGTCCATGGGCATGGATTTTAATCCTAATAATAAATACTCCTACCTTGAGGGTCCTTAAAATCTATATAATTTGTTGGGCCTGCATGATTTCTAAATGAGAGTCAAGCCCAAGTGTTTTTTTGTCTTGTCAAAAAAAAAAAGAAAAAGAAAATGAAAGAAAAAAAGAAGCTAGGGTCCTGACTCTACTTCTTTACTCTCTTGTGCTAATAATATGTCAAGTAACAGGTCTCATTCAGTGTGTGTGTATGTGTATGTGTAGAGACTATCTAACTAATCATATTTTTAAAAGAAACTTTAAGAACTTCTGCCACTGCCTTTATTGACTATACATCACCTAGTATTCCAGATTCCTAATCTCACTGTTGCATTGCCATAACCTGTATAAAGATACAAATTTGGATTTCTTTTCATGTTTAATAACTTCAGGGGATCAGTATTGTGGAGGACGCCTTGAAAAACCTTCCGGCTCTTTTAAAACCCCCAATTGGCCAGACCGGGATTACCCTGCAGGAGTCACTTGTGTGTGGCACATTGTAGCCCCAAAGAGTCAGGTGAGATTCCCTGAAAATGTGAAGAAAGTGTATGCATGTGTCACTTGTCTAGACCACGTGAGAGGCCCAACTCTCAAGGGCTAAGGTTGCAGGGCAATGGAGACCCTGCTGGACACAGATATTTCTTCATATGAAGGCCCAAATTGAAGTTGCTTTTGCACTATCTGACTTGCAAAATCATGGATTTAATTTCCTATTATACTGTCATAATTTTCAAAACAGGTTTTGAAATACAAATGGTAAGCAAGCACCAACTGAGACTGTTTAACCCTGTGGAGATGTTAGCAGCTGCAGTGGCTAAGTGTGGGGGGTAAAAATCCCGAAGGGCATGCGCATCTCATGTTACCATTCTCTCCCATAGCAAACCCATCATGTCCTGCTGTAGCCAAATCACCACATCAAAACCAGTCTGCAGCATTTCGATAAAGCCAGCACAAGCTGCCACACCATCTCCTCCAAGAGCGAGGGGTCTGACATGAAAGCTAGTCTGCTTTGTAGTTTTTCTGGTTATTTAAAATAAAATGTGTGCAGGTTCCCCACAACTAACTTATTCACTGCTCTAAAACAATCAGCAGAGAATGTCTGGTTTTCCAGTGTTTATTAGTTTGAGATTATATGAATTTTTACCCTTTCTGGGAACTACTGTCAGATATGAATAGCAGGACAGAACTTAGCATGGGGATAGACCAAGCCTACTTTGTAGACTTTTGAAAATAACTTTGAAACAATTATCATTACAAACACTTCAGACTTTGATCAAACACTACATGTGTTGAGCATTATGGTATTGTTTAAAAAAAAAAATCTTCTACACCTGATCTGTATCATTTACACAAATGCCATTTGAAATATATTCATTTTATTAATGGAAAATTATTCAGGCAAATATGCCAGGCAAGTGAGTGATTTGAACACACACACTCAAGCACACGCATTTTGCACATAATCTCAAAACTCAGTTTTATTTTTAAGAAAAATATTGTCATTTATTTAATAATGATTCTATAAAGCTGTTGAACATTTTATAGTTCAAAATGACACTTAAAAAACTAGATTTCTCAAACATTTAAAACATTATTGAATTCTTGAGATTGTATTGATCATTTTTCTCTCTGTAACATAGGTAAATATGTTGGACTAAATAATTTCAATTTAATTATACTTGCAGATTACAATTCAGCATCTTTTCTCCATTGTTCTTCTCTTTATTTAAATGTAAATTTGGGTTTTATTTCATTAATGAGATTTTTGGCTTCAGCCAATTGAGTTTTTTATGATTATGGTAGTGTCTGAAATTACTTAAAGTTCTGTCCAAGGACAATAAATATAATGGGAAAAGTAAGTCCTAAATAACTTCTGTGCAAGTCTGTGGACATTTTCTTTAATTAAAAACTTCTTACCTCCGTTTTTTAATCACAGTTTTCCCCTTTTTCATAACATTTATTTATTATTTATTTATTTATCTTCTCTCCAATAGTTGTTATGTCACTAATTCTAGTAGAGTATGTTCAGCCAGTTTTTTAATAACCTGGAAAGCATTTTATTACTAACTGGTGAGAAGTTGCTGGACCCAAAGAGAAATTATTTTAATATAATTTAAAGCAGTGCTAAGGATGAATAAGCCATTATTCACCCATCACTGGTGCCGACTTTTTGAAAAGGTGGGTAAATAAGTAGATACATGGCAGGTAGGTTCAAAGCCAGAACTTACCTTTAGTCCCTCTGCAGTGCTGTTGCTGTTACCATCTTGACCCAGATTACCGTGTCTGGGGTCTTCAGCTAACAGTGGTGCCTGTCCTAATAGGAATGAATGCCCATCATCTTCCCTAAGCAGTAGGGAGGATGGACTGCCTACCTGCCACCCAGCAAGGGTGGGGTCCCGCTCCAGTGGTTACCAAGGGGAAGAGGTTGAGGAGGGTGGGGGGCGGGGGAGATTAAGGGGCACGATAATTCACAATCACAATATAGGGGGGTCACGGGGATGGTAGTGTAGCCCAGAGAATACAGTTAATGATTCTGTAACATCTTCTACACTGATGGATGGTGACCACACTGGAGGGGTGAGGCCTTGATAATATGGGTGAATGTTGAACCACTGTGTGGTGTATCTGAAACCAACATAAGATTGTATATCAATGATACTTTAATTTAAAAAAAAGTTCAGGGTCCAGTTGTCTTGGTGCCATGGGTATTTATGAATCCAGTGAGATTGCCTTTGATTCACACATTGAAGATAATCTGGAAAAATCCGTTTGTAAGGGAATGACTGCCTATTAAAACAAAACTTCCTACTAACTAGAATAATTTAGGATGCTATTATTGGTATTGGTGCAAAAAAAATTAAGAAATACTTAAGAAACCTAACACTGATTTTGTGCATAGAGCTTTTATGCAGTCTCTTCAAAAATCAATCACATCATCAAGTAGGCTGTGTTCAGTAGGCACATTTTTTGGACATACTTCAAGAAGACATCACAGTGAATTCCCATTTCCCTGGACCTATGGTCCTAAAGAATTTGACTTCTTTACGTGCGATGGGAATATTAGTCTACTTTCCCCAAAAGGGCACCAAGTCTCTCCATCTCACCCACCCAACCACATTCGCGTACACTACCACCTAACACACGCTAACATAGGGGATATTTTATATAATACGTATTTCTATTAATTAGTTTTCTTCTAGAGAAAAACAAAGCTGGTACATAGCCCTCCTTCCCACTCCAACATGTGCCCAATTAAGGTCTGCAAGTAGGTTGCTGGGGTTACAAAGTGTTCCCATACTTCCATAGCTGTAAGTGAACAGAGCTTCTGAGTTTAAGGTCCTAGCTAAGGTTGATCTGGGGTTAAGATGGTCTTCTGGAATGATTAAAAATTAAAGCAAAAGTATACCACAATTTTCTTCAGTAAAGAATAAATATGAAAACAAAAACATAACAAACTGAATAAATACATCTTTTACAAAGGAAAGTCATGGTTTCCATTTGAGGCTATTCAGCACTGCTTTTTTCAACACTTTTAATGTTGTGCTTTCACTGAAGCTTATAGAATTAAAGTTTGAGAAGTTTGATGTGGAACGCGATAACTACTGCCGATATGACTATGTGGCTGTGTTTAATGGTGGAGAAGTCAATGACGCTAAAAGAATTGGAAAGTATTGTGGTGATAGTCCACCTGCGTAAGTAGCACCTTTTCCATTTCATTAATATTTTAGTGGTGGTTCTAAGTGTGTTTCTTATTAAATTGCCCGATTATAGTTTACTTTCTGGAAGATTTTATGCTGCTGTTCTTCTGTTCACAAATTCTTGGGTTCCATGGCAGAGGAGTCTCAATTTGGGACCAGCACAAGGAGTAGCCAACCCAGAAAGTGAGGCAACATTCAGGAGAGGGTAGAGAAGTCTGGGGAGTCAAACAGATAAACAGACGCAGAGCTGGTGGGAGGCGAGGCTGTGGAGGGGGCTGTGGAGCTGACTCACTTTTGAGGGCCGGCTTGGAGCGGTCTGAGTGCCAGCCCAACTAACACTTGACTGGAGGAATATTTTTCCACGGTTGGAGTACTCCTGGGGTGGGGCAGTGCAGAAAATGAGAAACCCTGTTTGGGGAGCTTTTCTGCTGTTACGTGGTGAATAGGACGAGGAGCGCTGTGGCTGGGGGCCAGCGTCTCACCCTCCCTGGGTCTGCTTCCATGCGCTATCAGCACCTCTGCATGCAGCTCAGAAGCCTTCACTGCACCCCAGCTGTGTGGTGGGCACTGTGGTGGGTACCTGGAATGAAAAGATAAATCAGAAATACAAAGATAAGTGATGGGAGGGAATGAAAAGGGGCTGCCAGGCTAATTGGCAGAGGAATGTCTTGGGTGGATTTCTGACAAGGAGTCAGGACAGGTGGTGGGGAGTAAAGGGAGGTTTTTTGGAGGAGATGGTACCTCTTAAAGCTGAGCCTTGAAAGAAGAGTTGGAGTTAGTCAGAGGCAAAAGGATGATAGAGTCATTCCAGAGAGAGGGAGCTCCGGTAATGCAGATACCCAGAGGAGCTACGTGCTATTCCACAGCCTAAACTTTGAGTTGGGGACCTAGAGAGAGAGTAGGCAAGGAGGCCAGAGCTGGGGTCCATGTTCTGCAGACATGGGAGCCCTCCAAGTACATTGAGGCAGGAAGTGATAGGCCAGTGCCTCCAGAACCCCCATCCTAGACAGGATGAGCAGGCAGGCTCTAGGGGGGCTATGGCAGGGGTCTAGGTACAATCGAGGAGGTAGGAAAGGGTGAATGAAGAGGACAGTGTGGATCAAGAAATTCTTTAGGATGCACAATTGGCAGACATGGTGGTTGACTGGCTGTAGTGATTGACAAAGTGGAAGACAGGGGAAGCAGCTAACACAGCCAGCTTTGTAAGACATGACGCAGCAGCTTTCCTCTTGCATTTCTAGTTATTTGTAACACTAATTTGCAGACACACCACTTGGCCCTCAGTACGTTGATGGCACTGTGATTCTGTCACATTCATACTAAAACTCCATAGCAGCATAACAAAAATATGTCTTTGTTACTAAAATACTCTTCCTTGAGAAAACTCAACTTTCATTATAATGCTTCTAAGTTTAGTTCATAGAGGAGGCAGTGAGTGATCAGTATAATTATAATATCACGACCAGAAGGCTGACCTTGTTGGGTCTTAAGGTTTCCTTTGCTGCTCATTATAAGTGCCTTTTGCAATTTCATCATTTAAACAAAATTAACATTTTATTTGCAATTGTAGTTGAGAATCGTGTTTCATACACAATGTGTTTATTTAGTGGAATGTGTTTTCAAAAGCAAGACAAAATATTTCTGTTAAAGTCTTGATTCTCAGAAGCATTATTTAAGTTACATCGGACACTTGGGTGTCCAGCACTATAAATGTAGGTCATGAAGTTTGCTCTTAGGTTTATCCCATCCTTGTCCCAGAAGATAACCTTCAGGACAGAAAATATCCTGCAGTCTTTCTAACTGGTTGGAGTCAAATACAAATGTACCTCCCCTCTACTCACACCCACTAAAAGTAGCTGGCCCCATTATTTGCTCCGTGATGTCCAAGAAGTGGTTCAGTTAAGAAGATGCCTCAAAAAAGGATTTTAGTCAAACCACCAATTAATCAAATACAGGCAACCTGGTTCCAGAGCTCCAGAATAAATTGAATATTGCAGTAAAATGAGTCAAATGGATTTTTGGTTTCCCAGTGCACATAAAATTTACATTTACACTATACTGTAGTCTATTAAGTATGTGTTAGCTTTATGTCCATAAGAAATGTCCACATCTTAATTTCAGAAACATTATTGCTACAGAATGCTAACCATCATCTGAGTTCCCACTGGGCCATGATCTGTCTGCTGGTGCAGGTCCTGCCTCAGTGTTTGGCTGCTGGCGATTAGGGTGCTAGTTGCTGAAGGCTGGGGTGGCAACTTCTTAAAATAAGACCACAGTGAAGTTTGCCACATAGATTAACTCTTCCTTTTATGAACAATTTCTCTGCAGCACAGGATCCTGTTTGGAGTCAATCCTCTCAAACCCTGCCACCACTTTATAACTAAGTTTATGTCACATTGTAAGTCCTTTGTTGTCATTTCAACAATCCTCACGGCGTCTTCACCAGGAGTAGAAGCCATCTCAGGGAGCCAGTTTCTTTGCTCACTCATAAGAAGCAACTCCACAACGGCTCAAGTTTTATCATGAAATTGCAGCAACTCAGTGCCATCTTCAGGCTCCACATCTAGTGCTAGTTCCCTCGCTGTTTCCCCCACATCTGCAGTCCTTCCTCCAGGATGTCTTGAACTCCTCAGTGTCACCTGTGAGGGTTGGAATCAACTTCTTCCAAACTCCAGTTAATGTTGATAGTTTGCCCTCTTCCCATGAATCATAAATGTTCTTAATGACATCTAGAATGGTGAATCCTTACCAGAAGGTTTTCAATTGGATTTTGCTCAGATCCATCAGGGAAATAATAATCTATGGCAGCTATAGATTTACAAAGTGTCATTGTTAAATGATAAGACTTGAAAGTTGAAATGACTCCTTGATTCATGGACCACAGAATGGATGTTGTGTTAGCAGGCACGAAAACAACATCCATCTCTTTGTACATCTCTGTCAGAGCTCTTGGGTGACTGATGCATTGTCAATGAGTAGTCATATTTTGAAAGGAGTCTATTTTCTGAGCATTAGGTCTCGAGAGTGGGCTTAGAATATTCAGTAAACCATGTTGTAAACAAATGTGCTGTCATCCAGGCTTTGTTCTTCCATTTATAGAGCACAGGCAGAGGTTTAGCACAGTTCTTAAGGGTTCTAAGATTTTCAGAATTATCAATGAGCCTTGGCTTCAGCTTGAAGTCACCAGCTGTATTAATCCCTAACAGAGAATGAGCTGTCCTTTGAGGCTTTGAAGCCAGGCATTGACTTCTTCTCTCTAGCTATGAAAGTCCTAGATGGCATCTTCTTACAATAGAAGACTGTTTCATGTACATTGCAAATCTGTTGGGTGTAGCCACCTCCATGAATGATCTGAACTATATCTTCTGGATAACTTGCTGCAGCTTCTCCATCAGCACTTGGTGCTTCACCATGCACTTTGGTGTTATGGAGGTGGCTTCTTTCCTTAGACCTCATGAACTGACCTCTGCTGGCTTCACACTTTTCCTTTGCAGCCTTCTCAGTTCTCCCACCCTGTACTGAATTGAGGAGAGTTAGGGTCTTGCTCTGAATTAGGCTTTGGCTTAAGGGAATGTTGTGGCTGGTTTGATCTTCTCTCCAGACCACTCGTACTTTCTCCTTCTCAGCAATAAGGCTGTTTTGTTTCCTTATCATTTGTATTCACTGTAGGAGCACTTCTAATTTCCATCAAGAACTCCTTTGCATTCAACACTTGGCTGACTGTTTGGCACAGGAGGCCTAGTGTTCGGCCTGCCTTGGCTTTTGACATGCCATCCTCACTAGGCTTAATCATGTCTAACTTTTGACTTAAAGTGAAAGATGTGCAACTCTTCCTTTCACTGTAGAGGCCATTGCAGGGTTATTAATTGGCTTAATTTCAGTATTGTTGTGTCTCAGGGAATAGGGAGGCCTGAGGAGAGGGAGAGAGATGGGGAATGGGTGGTCGGTGGAGCCGTCAGAGCATGCACAATATTTAGCGATTAAGTTTGCCATCTTATATGGTGTGGTTCGTGGTATCCCAAAACAATTAAAATCACAACATCAAAGATCACTGGTCACAGAGCATCCTAATAAATACAATAACAATTTGAAGAGTTTGAAATACTGTGACAACTAACCACGATGCAACACAAAGATACAAAATGAGCCAATGCTGTTAGAAAAATGGTGCTGATAGACTTGCTATATGCAGGGTTGCCACAAACCTTCAATTTGTAAAACATGAAGTGTCTGGGAAGCACAATAAAGCGAAGTGCAATAAAATGAGGTATGCTTATTTAATTTTTAAATTTAAATGTTTACATTTTTAATTAATTATTTTCATGTCTGAATTAAATAGTTTTTAAATAGAACTAGACAAACTGCTTTTATTTAAACCACTGTTTAAATAATAATGGCAAAAACGTAAATGGAGCTACTATTTTGTATAATACAGTTATGTCCTAAGATTTAAGAGAGCTTTTGAGCCCTGGTTATTATCACCTGTAAATCTTTAGTACCAACAAACCAGCAAGCTCCTAACACGGCTTTAAAATTAGAGTTCTTAATGATGTCAGTCATGAACACCAAAGTAATATGTCTTTTGTTTCTCCTTTACGGCAGTTTGCCACCACGATTAAAAAAGGAATGTTTCCATTTCAGGCATGCATAAGAATCTTCATTAAAAATGAAATGGAAGCTCCATTAAACCCTGCATGGCTTTTTTAGCCCCAGCTGGCCAGCCCACCGAGACAATCCCTTTGGCAGTGTCTTCACAGGGCATGGGAACTTTTTCATTGAATTTCTTCATCTTGAGTCTCTGCTTGGCCAGCATCCCTAGCTCCCCAGGGCAACCAGAACCCAGAGTCTTAGTTCAGAAAAGCTGTGTGGTCCCCAAGTGAGGTCAAACCCTAAGGTGCTTATGAAGAACCAGCCACAGCTTCAAAGTTTACGTTGGTCCCAGTGTCTACCCAGTCTCTAGTCATCTGGTCCTGGGTTCAAATTCTGACTTTTCCACATACTTGTTGTGAGGCCTTGGGCAAATCACTTCAACACTCTGAATTTCAGTTGCCTTTTCCCTAAAAAGGAACTAATAATATGGTCATTGTGAAGATATAATTCAGTGGTTTGCATAAAACACAGCACCTGTTGTCAGAAATTAATGGAAAGCTGGAAAATTCTGTATTTCAGAGAAGTGCCACTTAAACTTTTCTTCTTTTAGGCCAATTGTATCTGAGAGAAATGAACTTCTCATTCAGTTTTTATCAGACTTAAGTTTAACTGCAGATGGATTTATTGGTCACTACAAATTCAGGCCAAAAAAACTACCTGTAACTACAGCACCACCTATTACCACCACATTCCCTGTGACTACAGGTAAGTTCTTCTGTTTTAAAGTTTGTGCACAAACTTCATAGTATAAGAAAAATTGTTTTGAAGTAAAAAAAAAAAATGTAAGTAGGAGGAAGATACTTGAAACTAAAATAAGATGAAAACTTACATATGTGGGAGAATGATATGACTCTATTAATGAAATAAAAGTATAAGGTGTAAGAATACTTAATAAGCTAATGTTTTTTAAATGTCATCTTGGAAAATTATGACTACTTAAAACTTACTAGGAACCCTCTTATAGGCACAGATCTTCATAAGCCTAGTTTTTCTTTTCTGACACTTATAAAATTATGTGTTTTTTAAATCACATTTCAATGGTATTTTAGGTTAAATTTCTAGGGCCTTGATACCTGCCTGTTTTCACCTCTGCCAGTATTTAACTGGTCTTTCTTTTTGGCTTCCCTTCCCTCTAAAATATGTCGTATAAACTATATTATTTTTTTCAAATTGGGATAAATCAAACAAAAAAACTTTGATGTATTATAGAAGCCTTGAATAATAAGACTTGAATCTTGTTGCTGAAGATGATTTAAGAACAAGGTGGGAAACTGGTTTGGGGCATGATCTAAAAGCTGGAGGCAAGAGTGGGTCTCTGCATCTAGTCTACATCCTGTTCAGCTCTACTCAGTGGATTTTCAGGCCCCAGATCTCAAAAATCAAAATCAAAGGAGGAGAAAAAAATTGGGAATGAAGGTTCTAAGGTTAAGATAGGATATAGGCTGAAATAAGCCCAGCTTTATTACCCATCATTTTCTTTATGCACCTGGAGTCCGGGCGCTTCTGGAAGGGCTGGTGTTTCTGAGCACTCGACACGTGTGCCACCTTGTGGCCTGGGCGCATACTGCCTCCTGCTGCCGCAGCATTTCTCCAGCTTGTCTCCGTGGACCCTGGTGGCCTTACTGCCTCCAGTGAATTCGCTGACCACACCCTCGGTGCTAGTAGCTCCCCGGCTTATATCTCTAGTCCTAAACTTTCTCTGAAATTGCAAACTATCTGTAATTATATCCTAGAGTTTTGCAACTGCTAGACATTTAAACAAACACACATCAAACTCAACTAGTTTTTATCACACTATTTTTCATCTCATACCTGCTTCTCCACTTATTTTCCCCAAGCATGGTCCACGGTATCAGTGCCCAGATGCTTACGGTCATCTCTGACTTCCTCTCTCTGACCTCCCCACTGCCTCACCACCACACACAGGGAACAGTGTGTCCCATTTAATTCAATACACTAGCCACTACTGAACACTTAAAATGTGGCTAGTGATACTGAAGAACCGAAATTTTAATTTTATGAAATTCTGAAAGCTTCATGTGGCTAGTGGCTATCATATTAGCACAGGAGCTGAACTCCATGTAAGGCCCTTCACACTTTGCTCCTAGCCTCTCTTTCTAGTTTCATCTTTGGGCCTTACCACCTCTCTCCTTATGCTCCAAGTATTTTGGATTCTGCCCTAAATGTGGGAGAAGCTGTCGATGGATTTAAGCAAAGTTCGGGTTAGATTCACATTTTACGAAGAATCACCCTGGCCTCTGTGAGGTGAATGGGCGGTAGGGGTCAAGAGGATCAGCAGGTGCTAGGGTTGTCCAGGTGAAGTGCAGCATGGCAGGAATATGACAGTCAGATGTTGACTCTTGTGCAAGCCGGGGTCCTTGGGAGTTACTGACAGGCCTTGGTGATCCCCTGGACTAGGGAGATCAGGGAGGTGTCAGGAATGCCTCGCAGGTCCCTGGCTTGCTCGACTTGGGCAATAATGTTACCATTCACATTGGGTCTAGAGGTAGATTCATAACTTAAGCTGTGGGTTGGGTTCAAGGTATCTGTGAGACCCTCAAGTGGGGATGTCATGTGGACAGTTTGATCTGCTGGCCTCCAGACCAGAAGAGAGATTTAAGCAAGAGATTTAATTTTGAGAGTCATCAGCATATACATGGCTGATACAATGACCTAGAATGATATTTCCTTGGGAGAGGTTAGGCGTAAAAGAAGAGCTGGAATTATATCTCTAGAAACTCCAACTTCTTCAAAGAGGAGGATATGTTGGTGAAGGGACTGGAAAGGAGCAGCTATGGGTGAGGGATGAGAACCAGGAGCATGTGTCGTGGAAGGGAATGTTCGAGAAAGGTGGTCAAAAGATTTCAAAAAAGGGAAGGACTAAAATGTTTCCATTTGATTTCCTGAGATCCCAGCAAGAGCTGTGTGAGTGGAGTTGTGCAGGCAGGAGCCAGACAGAGTAGGCTGAGGGGCATGTGGGACAGGACAGGGTGAAGAAATGGAGATTGGAGATGAAGTTCGAGCAGCTCATTCCGCAAACTTGGCCCTAAAGGAGAGGGAGCGTTGAGTGCCTTGAACATGGGAAAGCTAATGACAAGTAGCCGACAAAGGAAACACCAGGGCAGATGGAAAGAGTAAACTGAGGAAGAAATTCCTGCAGAGGTGGGAGGGTTTGGCTGCCAGAGGCCTCACAGAGGGTGCATTTCAGACCAGGGGTGGGCACGCTCGTCTCGAGTTGGGGGAAAGAAGACAGAGGATCCAGGCAAAGATGACTTCGGAGGTTTGGTGGGGATCTTGAGGACATTTTCTCCTGTTCTCTCTAGAAAATAGGCAAAGTCACCTGCTGAGATTGGGAAGGGAGGTGAGATCCCTGGGGGATTAGGAGAATGAAAAAGAATTTGAAAAGCAGCTGTGGAAATTGGAGAGCAAGTTGATCCTTTCAACAGCTGCCACTTGGATGAGGGTACATTGTGCACCCAGCTGTCTGAGTGCAGGCATAGAAAATGGAGGCTCCTCCAGCCTTCCTGCAGGGGCTGAGGGCGGGAGGGGACGGGAGCTGAAGGCATTGGCAAGAAAAGGGCTGAAATAATGGACCGTGGAAACTAAGTGGAAGAGTTAAGGAAGTAAAGACAGGCCCAGGCTGATGGGTTAGGGGAATGAGGGGTCCAGGATAGGGAAAAAGGTAGTCATGAGAAAAAAGTAAGCAAGCCTGAAGGAGAAGCAGCTATACCGGGTATGAGGATGTCTACATTCAAGAGACTGGAGATGAAAGACGAGCAGAGGGAACTCTCGGGAAGCGTGAGGCCTCCGCCCTGGGAGGGGTCGTCCACGAGGAGGCGGACCCACCCGACATGGCAGGAGGAGCACAGGTGCCACGTGGGAGCGCAGGGCAGGGGAGACCACCCAGGTGGGGAGGGTCCTCGTGCTGCAGCGGGTGACTTACAGGCAGGGAGGCAGGGACCCACCGCAGGGAGAGGGGGTGGAGTGGGGACATGCACCCCACCTCCAGACTGACTGCTGAGGCTGGGGAGGAGCTGGTTTCCAGTGGTCCACATCAAAGGATGATCACCAGACAGGAAGAGCCACTCCTTGTTGATTCTGTCTTGAACTTCTGGAATAATGCACCATCTAAATGTTCTCTGAGCTCTTCATCTTTGGAAAAAAAAAATATATACACACACACACATACATATATGTGTAAGTGATTATATGTATTTTAACATTAAATTGTATGTATTTTAATACTGTAACCCACTTCAGATCCTTTTTGGAGTTAAGTAGGGGTACTCTTAAGTAAATGGACAAGCAGTAAATTCACAGAAGAACTGAACATATTAGAAGGGCAATATTACAATTACAAATTCTTACCTGACAAGTACAATTCTGTTACAGTTGTTTTGTTTAGTTCTTCCTATCATATTGTTGCATGTAAGTGAATAATTAGCAAATATCTTTGAAACATTTTTAATGATGATAATGGGGATTAAATATTTTCATTTTGTTAACAGTCTCTCAACTTTAGCTTTATTTACATTTTGGGCAGATAATCCTGCTGGGGGCTCTCCTGCTCGTTATATGCTTCAGAGATATTTAGTAGCATCCCTGGCATCTACCCACTAGATGCCAGTAGTCCCCCTGCTAGCCCCCTCTCCCACCCTCAGCATGACAAGTATTTCCAGACATTGCCATATGTCATCTAAGGGGCAAAATCCCCCATGGTTGAGAACCACTGTGTTTATCTATTTAGATGACAGACTCAAATTAAATGTTTAGTGATTAGTTGCCTTTAAGTACAGATATAACACACTTTATACATGAGCAGTGTTTCTAAAAACCTATATTGGGCAACTGCATACTTTACATGCACCAAGAAAGCTCCCTCCATCCTCTACACTATAGGATTCCTTTTATATAGTGAAGAATTCACCACTATTGCAGGTTCATATTTGTTCATACTGAGCTTTTCTTCATGTGCAGGGCACATGAAGACTGTATTTTTGATTGTAGTCTTAGTTATATATAAAGGAAGAGGAGAATAGGGCTAAATTTCAGTTATCTTTGATCTTAGGTTTAAAATTCAGCAGGGGGTATTGAGTTACTCTGAGGAAATTAGAGCAGGAGTTGGAAGCATGAAGAATTTCTTTTGCATGCATTTTATTTATTTCATGGCCATGGCAGATTGCTCAAGGAAATAAATGGGAATTTAAAATTGATAGACTGATATCTAAACACCAGTTATACCTGATTCGTTTTCCTGAATCTTGTCTTTCTTCTTTGAATTAAGGTTTGAAACCCACTGTGGCCCTGTGTCAACAGAAATGTAGACGGTCAGGGACTCTGGAGAGCAATTACTGCTCAAGTAACTTTGGTAAGAAATAAAACCCAGCCTTTAGTCAGAAACTTGAGACTGTATGCTTAAGCTCACAGGAATTGCAATGAATGTGGTAGCAAAGGGTCAGTTACACTCTTCATTTACCCAAGAAGCTATTTTCCTCCCCTCTAAGGTATGTTGACTTGTGCTGTTCAAAGTGCTAGATTTCACAACTGAGAACAGCATGTATACAGAAAATAAACTTTTTCCCCATGAGCTTAATAATTTGAGTCCTGGCCCTTCTTAGTGTAACACTGTGTTCTAGCTGGCTCAGTATTCCTAAATAAAATCTATCCTTTTTTTTCTCACATATTTTTCATGTGCTGAGTATTTTTTCATACATCTGTAATCCAACTTAAGTAAATTAGAAACATAGCCAAGCTGGCCTCTCTCAGAACAAATTCAAGTATTTCCTCCATAGTGTCCTTCCAAAGTACTAAATTAAAACTTAGAAATCTGAAATCCATTTGGAAACTCTTATAAATTGGACCTGAGGAGATATTACCCATTAACTTAGAATTTCTAGGAGCTTTTTCCCATTTAAAAAAATGCACTTTCTGTGAAAACCCCTTAAGAGAAAAAGAGACCAACTTTGTGTCAGTTATGTTTAAAAGGAACAGTTTTTAAAAATCTTATCAGGAAAAGAAAGTTGCTACAACCTAAATAGGCTACACAAAGCAAGGGGCCTCCCAGCCGAGGCTTTGCTTGCTGTGCCTACACTTTAAAGTGGCAACTGTCCGCAGCCCAGACAGTTCCATAACTGTTACAGTGAAGGCGTGAAGGCACTGAAGACTCCGGGGCCCTACACCTTCCTGGAGTTTGCATGTTGATACTCAAATAACTGGCATAAAAATTAAAACAGCACCAGGTGTCATGGCTGCCACGTCCACTTTGGTCTTCTGGAGAATGTGCTTAAGGACATCCTCCTCCTTGTCCTTTGGAGCCACTTGATCTCACTTAGCTACCAGTGGACATCCCACCAGAATCAAAGTAAGGCATGATAAGAATTCTGATTGTATGTGTTTTGCATACTATGTAAGCAGTGAATTCTTATTTTATCCCGAAATGGTCATATCAACCAAGTCCAAAACTTGATTTATTCTCATTGTGACTCACCTACATAGCAAAATGACCAAATAGTATCACCTGTGGCCATTGGTCCTCACCCAACATTGGTAACACTCCTCTAGGGGCAGTTTTTGGTTGGCACACCAAGTGGGGCGTGCTGCTGGTTTTTCTGGGAGGGACGGGGCTCATACAGCATCATTCAGTGCAAGGCTTACGCCACACAGAATCGTGCCCCCCAAAATGCCCAAAGCATGCCTTCGAGAAACACAACATCTTTTTTCCTGCAGCGTAGAAGTGAGACTCTTTTCTCTGAGTGTCACAATGGAAAGAGAGAGGGAACTGAATTTTGCTAGTTCTTTCTTTTAAAGCAAGGAAAGGTTTTAAGTTATACCTCAGTTCTATACTTTGACTTGTTAAATGAGATAAACAGGGTGGGTAAGAAAGGGAATATGAAAGGCCCAGCAAAAGATATTTACTGATAATTTGAGAGAGAGCAGGACCCATGGGATGACCCAAGTTCAAGGAGAGAAGAGAGGTAAAGGGAAGGGCCTGGTGGGGGAGCGACAGACTCAGATCCTCGAGGCTCAGACCCCCATCACGCAGCCTCCTTGTGTGATATTGCCTCCAAAGATTCAAGGGCTGGGTGAGTGTTCACGGGAGAGGGAGAGGCTTATAAGCTATCCCTTATTTGGTATTTGATGCACGTGTTGGATAAACCCCTGGAAAGAGTCTCCATCTCAGCAATGGGCTGCAGAATGTTTCTCTCCTGGGTAGCACTGCAGCTCCTTGGGCACTTTTTTCGATCTGAATTTTGGTGACACATGCACAAATTCGAGAGCTCTGTTAGGGCCTTCTCTTAAGCATTAAAATGTTTCCCCTCTGAAACTTAGAAGAATGTAAAACGTTCAGTTCTGCTTACGTTTGCCTTCACTGTTATGTTATTTCAAAAAATGTTTCCTTCAGTATTGGCTGGCACTGTCATCACGACTGTCACCCGAGGCGGGAGTGTGCATGCCACGGTCTCAGTCATCAACATCTATAAAGAGGGAAATCTGGCAGTTCAGCAGGCCGGCAAGAACATGAGCGCCAAGGTCATCGTGGTCTGCAAGCAGTGCCCTCTCCTCAGAAGAGGTGACTAAGGAAGGAAACTTCAGCTTTTCTTCTAGGGAACTTCAGGGTCTAAGTGGGGAACAAGAGAGCCTCTCTGAGCAAGTCATCCATCTTTCTGAGCCATGGCTGGTTCAGGGAAGTAAAGTCAGGGCTAATGTATTGCCCACTTTGGGTATAGAAGGAAAGCTTTTGGAGTCAGGCAGAATTGGGCTCTCATCCCAGGCCTTGTAACTTGTAGAAGAGGACGAGATAGTGCAACTGATGAATGAGCCCAGGAAGCATTTAAAGTTGGATCAATGGGGTTCAGTCACAGAAGGAGCAGTTCAAGAGAATGAGATTTTCAGTTATTGCACATAAGGTGCCTATACTATGTTTAGATGGAAATATCCAGCAAGGAACAGGAAATTCAGAGCTGAAATTCAGAAGAGAGAGGTGTGTATAGGTTAGAATTAAAGATTTGGAAATTGTTTGCAGGTATAACATCATGAAATCCATAGATGGGAATCTGTTTATTAAGAGAAATTATGGGAAAAGTAAAGTTACTCCAGAACCAGAGGCACATGACTTTTTTTAAAACAAGCTCTTTAACTTACAAAAATAATGTATAGTTTTTTAAGTTTAAATAGAGAAGAACATAAATTAAAAATGAAGCCCCTTTCTTTTCCTCAGAGGTACCATGAAAAATTTCTTGCAGAAAATTTCTGTCCATTTGAACATGTACATACACACTTAAAAAAAAAGGGTCATGCTATACATATTCTGTGTATATTTGCCCCCTCATGACATATATGTAGACATCGTTCATAAGCAGTTCATGTAGACAGATCTTTCCCTTTCTCTGGAATGGTGATCATGCCTGGTATTCTGTTGTGTGATATACCATGATTTCTCTATCTAATCTCAGCTCATCTCTTCCTCATTCTTGTTACAAACGTCCCCCACAACCAAAACAAACCAAACCACGGACAGAGACAGAGACAGAGGTTGTGTGATATACCATGATTTCTCTATCTAATCTCAGCTCATCTCTTCCTCATTCTTGTTACAAACGTCCCCCACAACCAAAACAAACCAAACCACGGACAGAGACAGAGACAGAGACAGAAATTCTGTGTATATTTGCCCCCTCATGACATATATGTAGACATCGTTCATAAGCAGTTCATGTAGACAGATCTTTCCCTTTCTCTGGAATGGTGATCATGCCTGGTATTCTGTTGTGTGATATACCATGATTTCTCTATCTAATCTCAGCTCATCTCTTCCTCATTCTTGTTACAAACGTCCCCCACAACCAAAACAAACCAAACCACGGACAGAGACAGAGACAGAGACAGAGACAGAATGTCCACTTCAAGAAAGCTTCACTATGAATTCAGATTGTTCACGAAAGTCAGAAGACCAGCAGCCTCACAATTACTCTTCAGAGGGAAGAGCAGAGGCTCTTTAAGAGATAAACCTTCTTTCCAGAACTGTCAGGAACAGCAAATAATGCGCATCTAGATACTTACCGTTATGTCCCAGAATGATGTGAATGCTGCACCCTTGCGGTGGTGTCCACCTGCCCAACCTTCCAAGTTTTCACAGGCTCAAGACCATTATGAAGACAATGTCAGCATGAAAAGAAAGCACATATTTATTTCTCTTACAACACGCAGGAGCAGAGGGAGGATAAAGGAGGTGGTAGTAGACACTTCCTTTAGGGCATTTTCTTGAGGTAATATAAATTTTCAGAGTTGAACCCAACACACCTCAGCTTAGGCCCTAGTCTAGGCCTAACTTAGCCAGACACACTGATATGTGAAAAATAGTATAACAGATACAAGTACTTTTTAGTGCCTATTTTTTGCAAAGAATGCAAAGAAGTATATGCTCCAACCATGTCCTCACAAAACTTACATACTGTAAATGCTGGGGATGTTGAAAAAAGTTCAAAATGACAATAACCAAAGACAGCGGGTCATTGTTAGTTGCCAAATGCCTGGGAAATCCAGAAGCATTATGGGACCCCGAGAGGCCATCTGAGGTTGGTGTGCTGGGGAGTCCCAGAGGTCCTTAGAGGAAGGAGAGCCTTTCACAGGAACACAGTGCATGGTTCACACTAGACCCTCAGTAAATGCACCAGCTGACAGCACTGCAGAGCAGGACGTATCTGTATCTTACCATCCATCCTGTTTCCTATGTTAGCAGTTACATTTACTCAGTTATATTTAAATTTTTGCTGATGAGATTCTTAAACAAGATTTTATCCTAGACAGAATAAATGTATAATTATATCACTTACAGAACATTTATCTAGCAGTAAGTTACAGTCTGAGTTGTTTCAAGCCAACAAACACACAGAGAAAAAAATTAATTTTATCTTCTTTTTTCTAAAGGTCTAAATTATATTATTATGGGCCAAGTGGGTGAAGATGGGCGAGGCAAAATCATGCCAAACAGCTTTATCATGATGTTCAAGACTAAGAATCAGAAGCTGCTGAATACCTTGAAAGGCAAACAATGTTAACAATGAATTGTGTCGATTTTAGCCGTGTTTCTGTCATTGCCTTTGAAAGATCTATTTTTTCTCAGTAGAAAAGAAATATTATAATATTAAAAATTGAGCATCCAGAAAGATTTACTCTTCACATGAGGTAGGTATGAGGCCTCTCATATTGCTGATGGAAGTCCTGGGCCTGCACTGAGAGGAGCAGATACCTGATTGAAAACCTGCAGACTGAGTGCGGAGACAGGAAACTCAATGTATCAAGCAAGCGTTGACAGTTTGGAAGCAGTTTATTTATACTAATCTCTGTAAAAGGATATTTTAGAAATGAGCTGTGTGAAGATGTAAAAAAGAGATTTTATAAGTGCAATATTTATAGCAACGTTTGTTTTACCTTCAAGCATCTGCTCTGAGGTGTTATATCCTTTTCTTGCCGTTTTTTAATCAATGCTTAATAAAATATTGTTAATGATTATATAACAGCCATTAAACTTGTTTTTATAGAAAATGGGACACTGTAAAAAGAGTATTCCCTGCTATTTACACACAAGGTTGTCTTTGTATCAATTTACACTTTGTTAGAAGAATTAGCATTCCAAGAACTTTGGGGATTAGATGGATGCAGCAATGTAAATAGACCTGATGTAAAGTAACGTACAGTGAAGTCCCACAGAACCAGGGAATGTTAGAGCTAGAATAGTGTCCCTCTGGCACCCAGTTCAAATCCTCCATTTTGTAATAGAGATTGAAGCTCAGGTATATTCAATGACTTGTCCAGAGCACATATTTCCCGGGAGACCAAGTGGGTAACCACATTCAGAGTCCTCATTCCAAACCCAGTGCCCTCACTGCCTCTAGGAGAAGCCGTCTCCACCCCAGAGGTAAACCCTTTTACCCTGACTTGCAGAGTTTAGTCCTTGTTTTCCTAGCCTAAGTCATAATTGGTCATTTTAGAGGACTTGAAATTAGAAGTGAGCTTGACAGCTCTATCCTGTTCATCCCCAGGTAACTGGACTAGGCCGTGCCAGCGAGGATGCATTCTGCCTTTGCCTTTGAAAAACCTACTGTCCCTCAGTGATGGGTGAACTGTGAAAGGGCTCCTGTCCCTTGCACGGACAGCCCTGAGGAGGTGGCCGGGAGCTGGGGGGAAGGGGGAGGGGACAGCCTCCCTCTCTGAAGAAGGCAGGAAGGAAAACCAGGATGGACAAAGATGGCCACAAGGTCTCCTATAGTAGAAGCAATGTTTTAGAAATAAGGGAAAATAATCTTTGGGGTGGAAACAGTAATTCCCAGCCGGAGAGGTTACCAGATATCCAAAGAGCAGCAAAATGGAAATATCAAAGGGAGAATCCCCCTGTTCTGGCAGCTGAAGGTGCACAAGAAAGCCCTGAATGTGGATGGGTTGTCAGGGTCGGGAGTCATTCCTGAAAGCTCCCGTGGGCATGTGCTTCAATGGAGAATCTACCAGCTGAGGACGCAGACAAACAACAGGAGCCGGTGGTTGGCTTCACTGGCCTCAACAATGAGTAATTAGAAGTTAATAAAAAGTAAACTGATGAAAAAAATATTAGATGTTGGAAATTGAGCAATGTGCTGTTAATAACTCACGATCAAAAGGAAATCATGAAAATTATAGAAATTATAAAAACCACAATAGAAACACTAGACCTTAAAATATGTGGAATACAGCTTAAATAGCACTTTAAAGTTTATAGCTTTACATGTTTACATTATTTTAAAAGGTTAAAAAAAATTTTGTGAATGAAATAAATTAGGAAGCTAATAAAAGAACAATAGAATAAACTTTTAAGAGGTGGGAGAAAATTAGCAGAAGAACAGAAATTGAGTAAAATAGTAATCATAAATAACAGGAAAATCAATGAAACCAAAAAGTGTTTCTCTAAAGTGACTGGTTTAATGACAAAACTCTGACAAGGTTAAGCAAGAAAATAATTCTAATAGGACAATAAAACAAGGAATGAAAAGGGGACCTTACTACAGATGTGACAGAATCTTAAAAGGTAATAAAAGGATATTATGAACCACTTTTTCAATAGAATTTAGATTAAGAATTGAGAATTTAGATGAAGTGGACAAATTTTTAAGGCAGGTGTATTTATCAAGTCAGACTCAAGTAGAAATAGAATGCCTAAATAGTCATTAAAGAAATTTACCAGTAATATAAAATCCTTTTTTACATAAGATAGTTTTACTTAGGAGACCTACCAAACACCTAAGAGACAGGCACCACCAATCTCACATATATGATTCTAGATTATATAGAGAAGGAACCCCAGCAATTCTTTTTATGAGATTAATATAATGTTGATGACAAAACTCAAGCAGATAATTGGATCTAGGAAAACCACCAATCTGATTTCACTTATGAACACAGGTGCAAAAACTCTGAATAAAATATTATCAAACAAAATCTAGCAAACAAAATAGGTCACAATGAAGTTAGGTTTATCCCAGAAAGGTGTGACTGTCGATGTAACATTAGAAAATCGATCACCATGCTTCACTGCGTTGACAGATTTGCAATGCCAACTAGCGAGTCAGCTGCAACTAAACATTTAGACTCATGAGAGTACCACAGGCCTCTCTTAGTATCAGCAACCTTAGAAATATCGAGACAGGGACCAGAGCCTAATAGGACAGTGTCAGACTCTTTCTGTGGGAGTCTTTGCAGCAGTCTGGCAGCAGTTCACAAGCCATCCGTGAGCTGTTTTCTTCTGCCTCCCAGGAGGATGTCTCAAATGCCAAGAGACAAGATCTGTGTCAGGTGGGTGCAGACATTCCCACTTCATGCTCACATCTCAGAAGCCAGTATCTCTCGTACCAATGCCACAGACATAGCTTCCAGCCTCCTCATAGATGACATGCCTGCTTATAAGAAATAGACACTTAGGAAAGCCAAAGCTGTCTCCTCTACCAGCTATTTACACTTCAGTTACAATTCCTCCTAGTCCAAAGCAACTTACCAATTGGGTTTATTTTTACCATAAACAAGTTTGCCTAGCAACACAGTTGACATACTGTATGCTCAAATTACCAGGTAAACTAAGCTGGAGTTAAACAAAGGTCAACTCTTGACAGAATGGGGAAAGGTTCTGTTAAGCCCTATTCACAATGGATTAAAGGAGAAACATCATTTAATCTTAAGGCAGAAAAGCATTTGATAATAGTTCAACATTTATTCATGACAAACTACAAATAGAAGGGAACTTCCTTAAGCTGACAACAAAACCTGTAGCAGATCTCATACTTAATGGTGAAATATTGAAAGCATTTTCTTTAGGATCAGCAATAAGACAAGAATGCCTGAAATCAATATTTCTATTAAATATTGTATTGGTGGGTCTAGTCAGTGTAGTAAGGCAAGAAAAATAGAATTATATTGGACGGGAAGAAACATGACTATTATAATGTAACGATGAAAGGATTATTTAAATCAAAAACCCTTAGTAACTTGCACTAAGTGATTAGAATTAATAGTTTCACAAGTTTGTCCCTTAGATGTATACATAAGCCCTAGTCCAAGGACAAAATACTGAATATTATTTTATCTTTTATAAATAAGCATCTTGAATTAAATATATGAGGGTTATTATTCACATGCCAATGGCCTCTTTTTAGTATACGTGGATGTAAAGAATTGGGTGACAGAGTAGCTCTGGGACATACATAGAAACTTGCTCTGAGGAATTCTAAAGTTACTATTCAAAATCCTAACTTTTGCTTTATTTTTGCAATTTGCTTCCTCTTAAAAACAAGGTTTAAAAAGACTAAAATTTGATTAGATACAGATTTGCAACATTATCTTTTGCTTAAAGGATGTCCCTGTGGCATTCTGATACTAAGGTCAGGTCAGATTTGAACAGCCAGATGGAGCTTTTAAGTATAGAAATATACTGAAAAGATTTACAAACTTAAAAGTACGACTTTCTACAGCGGATTGATTTATGTCATAGCTAGAAATTAATATTAACAGTAACATAATGCAATTAAGAGCCTCCTGGATGAGGAGGAGAAAGACTTGGATTCTCCTTCCTGGTGTAGCGTTGGGAGAACTTTATAGTTTCCTAATCTGTAAAACGAGAATGCTCAACTGGATCCTTTCTGATCCCCATAGGTCTTAAGTTGTTGCTAGATCCTTGAATAACCAAGTTGATCGGGATATAAAGTGGCACAGAAATAAAATTAGCCAGTGTCTCCATTCTGAACCCTTGATCCGTTCATGGCCTGGCTTGTTATTTTTCTTGAGACTGACTCCTGATTTTCTGTTATTATTTACGACCTCACTGTCCATACTTTCCCTCTAACTCTTGCTCATCTCATTGGTTTGTTTTTGTCTTTTGTCAAACATAATTAAGTCTTTAATAAACTATTCGTTTAGGAAAGAAGGGACTAGACATCTTAAATTCTGTTCTCTGACCAAGATGAACTACAGCAAGAAATTCAATATAGCAAAGCTTTTGGATATATCTTACCCGATACAAACAGGTTCAGGATCTCAAGTCAGTCATTATACAACCTTGGACAAATTTAAGTGTCAGCAGTTTTCTCACCCATAGAATGAGAATGTTGAAGTAGGGGGTCTAGATTTTCTTCAATTCAATTTGATGAAATGGGTTCTAGAGGGGCACGTCCAGAGGTCGGTCCTGGTAGGATCTTTACACAAATAGGTAAGGGCTAAATTTTCATTGAGCAAAGTTATGCCATTTAACATCAACAATGTATTTAAGCTGAGGATATAGAGAATAAGAAAACCGTCCCCACCTAGTATTATAGCTTAAAAAAAAACACCTCTACATTTAAACAATTATTACTGAACATAGAGATTATTCCTTAAGCTTCTATTAGCAAAAAGTAAGGTATCAAAAGATACTTTAACTTTAGAGCTGAGAGAAATGAGAGAATATTCAAGGCTTACCTCTGGAAACTGGTTCACTAAAATCACTTCCCAGACTATTATGAAGGCATATTGTGATGAAAATTCAGCTGATATAGAAATGTGACATCTTTATAGACTTTGTTCCTAGGCCATTCAGGTATTTGAGGTCACCTCCCAGGTTGCCAGGGCTAATACTAAAAACAGTCTTACAGTGAGCCTTGCTGTGCTTCAGTCCCAGATTGTCCACTCTTCCTGGGGAAGGCTGTTTTATTTTTAAATAAATATTTTATTTGCTTAAATAAAAAACAGAAAATATAGTGATTGTTGGCTATTTCCACTGAAATATAAAATGGGAGAAATTGCTTTTTAAAAATATTGAAATTTAAAATATTTTTAAATTAACTCAAAGAATTAATTCAATTTCTGGATGAGCTATTGAGGCAGCTAATGTATTTTCATCCTTGAAATTCTTTTCAAATAGTACCTGGATAATTTTAGTATCTTTCAAAGAAAATAATTTTGCCTAAAATTGAAAGATAGATTCAATAGCCTCTCTAATGAAGAGAAACAGAAACACACAGAGAGACACACACAGAGAGAGGAACCTATAGATGGCTGATAGCAGGGTGGAGAAAATGGAGCTTACCTGTCATTTACCTGATTGGCTGACAGTTCTTTTTTTTGAACATATATTTACCTCCTACATAATATACCTGCTGTATTGTATTACTGTGATTTAATTTACATCAGAAATTATGTCTCTTAAAGATGGTTATTTTTAAAGCATGTAGCTAACACAACACCTTTCCTCACTAATTTTGAGCTGCATATCTGAAATCCTTATTTCAAATGGGTTTGGGAGAGCAGAAGAAAAAACAATGTGAAATTATGAAATGAGAAATGCTGTAACTGGCAATTCTTAAGTATATTTTAAAGAAACAATATTCTTACAAAAGGGACAGTGATGCCAGAAAGCTAACGAAGTAATTTATAAATCAGAAATTTAGAGCAGCCATTATCCTTCTTAGCATTATTTTCTTAGTGTAATTCTGAATAATTAGACCCAACTGGCTTACTCCCCAGGGCCTATAACCTCAGCTTATTTGGCATTTTATAAATACATTTTCTGAGGAAAACAAAATTTTCTATTTCAATGCAATTCCAATAAAATCCCAACAAGGCTTTTTGGTAGAAATTGATAGGATAGGCAGCCTCCAAAATTTATGTGAAAAAGCGAAGAAGCTAGAATAGGCAAAATAATTTTGAAAAAAATGAAACAAAATTCTTCACCTTGTCATTTACGGATTTCCATACTTCACCCAGTGTGTTGTGTGAGTGATAGGCTACCAACTTGAATATTCAAGCACTGTTTTCTTTTGGAGTGATAATGAATTATAAAATTCATTATTTTCTTACTTATTGTCATAGCATTATGTATTTTTGTTGGGCTTAATCAAGCATGATTTCCATACATTAAAATTTACCTGTTCAGTGAATTTGATGAGTTGTGCTATCAGTCTTCTCCTTCCACCAGACTGGGTAACCAATGAAATGACCTGATTTCAGTTTCTATAGTTTTATCTTTTCTAGAGGGCTATGTAAATGAAATCATACAGTTTACAACCTTTAGTGATGAGCTTCCTCACTTAGCATAGGACTTTTAAGATTCACCTATGTTATTGTATATACCAGTAGTTTGTTCTGGTGTCAACTTGGTGAGGCTGTATTATATTTCCCAGAATTCTCTACCTTACCTGCTTCCAGTTAAGGTAGGCCACAAGACACATTTTGATGTGAAATTTGGAGGGTAGAAGTGAAGCAGCAGCCATTTTGCTTTTTATGCAGGCACTTCGGTAACTCATGCATGTAACTTAACCTGTAGGCTGAACTGGCTGGTGTAGGGCAGACAGCAGTCTGGTCTACAGTAGTTCCTCCTTTCCTTGGATCCTCCTTCAGCCTTTCTGATTTCTGGGCCAAGTGTGTGTTTAGCAATCTGGCAAAATTAATTTTTTTAAAAGGCAACTTTTTCCACAGGTAACCCGCGTCATCAAAGTTGGAGACAGTGAGAAGTGACATGGGTCTCAGTCCACCCCATGGTTTCCAGCTTGTCCTTGTTAATTCCACTTTATATTCATCATCTCTTTCCAACTACCTACCTGCAGAACTCCCAAAACACCTTCATACTCTTAACTAGCTCCAGTTTTGTAACATCAAACCTATGCAAACAAACATACAAGTGGGCCTGCACATATCCTAGTCGTTCTGCTTCTCTGACTGAACTGACACAATTCCTTCTTATTGTTGAGGAGTGGTGCACTGTACAGGTATACCATTTGTTTATCCATTCATAGTTGATGGACATTTGGTTGTTTTCAGTTTGGGATCATGAACAAAGCTGCTATAGACATCACATACATGTCTTTGTGTGACTATATTACATGCAAATATAAGAAACAGCTAAGAGTTAAATGTGATTGCCACTGGAGGTAGGAAGGGGTCTGATGTTGTTTTGCATTTTAGGCCTTTCTTACTATGATTTTTTTAAAAGACACTGAATTGTATACTTTAATAGAGTGAATTTCATGATGTAAATTATACCTCAATAAAAAGAAGTATGCAGGTATATATGATAATGGACAGACAACTCGATTCATATTCTAATGTCAACTTTTATTTACCTTTTTTCTTACAATATGCTATCACTCAAAATATACCTTATAAGTAATTCATGCAGACAGTAGGCACTCTATAAATATTTTGATTTAATAATTAGGCATTTTTTAGAATGACTAAAAATCCTGATGTAAAATCCCAACTGGGAAGTGCATATCCCTGTAGACAAAATATATAACTTTACAATAAACATTTTGATAAGAATTTGTCCCAAAGAGGGAACACTTAAATTTGGAAATTAAAAAAATAAAAAGCAAGATGAAACACAATACTAACATATTAAGACAATGATCCCTGGATTGGTGGTGCTTATAGACCAAGGGCTACCTGCACCCCATGGCCTTAAGACCATCTGACATTCAGTTAAGATAATGAATACCCCCTTAACTGGAAGTGCTGCAAGAATATATAAGCAATAGCCTGTGAAAAAATTTTTTAACTACATCCCTTACATGAACACAGGAAGAAAAATTTAAATAGGTATTTTATTTTCCAATTCAAAAAAACCCAATGCTCTCCATCCTAAGCAGCAAGAATGATCAACAAATAAGCATGAAGTCACTTTTGTACAGCTACATTAAATTCTGTGGAAAATACTTTGGGAGATAAGCTCAAGAACCTTAGCACAAATATAAAACAAATCCTTGCATGAAAGCTCTTCCAATGTTTACAACAACAAAACCAGCTGTGACCATATATGATACATGATAAACAAGAATCTTCTAAATCCTTATTTTGGGTTAGCTTTATATCTACGAATATTCACTTCAACTTGAAAAAGATTATAGCACTATTATGATTAAGAAAAATTAAAAGCCATGTGCCTAACCTCAGAGAGGTACCTATGCAAACCTATAAATATAATCAAATACTCTAAGCTATAAAATGAAAGGTCTACATCTATACTTTTCAAAAACTATGTAATCTATAAAAATTTAAATACATGGACTATATCAATATGTGAAAATCTAAATATAAAACACTATTAACTGAATTTAAATGTATAGGTATTTATTAAATTTATAGTGAATTAAAATTTATATTCATTATTAGATTCAAATATTCATTAAGTTCTTTTCTTTGTTACTTAAGATTATAACAAAAGAAAAAATAGACTTATTTTAAAGAAAAAGACTCCTAAACAGTAAGTACTGACTATATGTGAAGTCCTAAAACAGATTTAAAAAACCATGACTTCTGTATTTCAAGTATATTCTATGGACGCAGATCAGCCCACATTTGCTATTCTTCATTCTACAAAACCTTATTGTACAATTATAACTGCCCTTCTTGACCATAAAAAGAAGAAAAAATTTAAAGCACTGTCCAAATTAGAACACCAAGCATGCAAACAAAATCTATTTAATCTGTTAGCTTCTGCAAAAATCCACTAAGAGGGTTTTAAAAAACTAATTCTATATACATATTTTACACAACATATATTTATGCTATAAATATTTTAAAGAATGGCTTTGATGTAATTCTTTATTTCAATATAGTATCTTATTGATTTAATTGCAAGTAATGCAAATGCAGTCTTTCTGATTTATTATTGAAAATTATTCTCTACATGACTTAGAAAATGGTTAATTTCTTGGATAAAACATAGCATACTTAGAAGTCCGAAAGCCAAGTAAATCCCTTATTTCATTTCGGAATTTTGACAGATCTTGGCGCAGTTCATTTAGATTTTCCACAGTTGCCTGATCTGTACTTTGCATCTTCTGTCTCATGGACGTCAAGTAACGATGTACTAGGCAACACATCACTTTTTGGTAGTTTTCATCTCTTTTCTGTTTCAAATTTCTCCATTCCTTCAAAACAAACCAACAGTATGATATTAACAATGAGCATACAAATATTTAAAGAGGTACATTTAAAAAATATTCACAAATTACAAACATTAATGCTACATTAAGCTATATTTTGTCACCATGTATTACAAAATAATACTCAACACTTGTTTAAAACAAATATAGCCTTCACACTTGTTTTAGTCATTCACCTGTATGCTTACCTTGATTTATTAATAGTCTTAAGAATCCTCAGTTTATAAGAGGGATAAGCCAATTACAACCCACTGGCCAAAGGTGGCTCACTGCTGTTTTTTTTATGGCCTGTGAACTAAGAATGGTTTTTACAGCCGAACTTTTGTAATTAATTTGATGATAGGAAACATTAATTTTGAACCCCAAGTAAACAAAATGTTATCTGTCCCATTGGAATTCCATTCTTTTCATTAATTGACTTGTTCTAGGAAAAATTATTACTCAATTACTATTACACTGTTAATTTCATCAAAAATTTTGTGGAAATTTGTGTTCTTTTTTGTTATTTTACTTGATTTGGTCTAAGCCTACAAAGTCTAAGGTATTTATTATTTGGTCCTTTATAGAAAACCTTTGCCTACCTCTCCTCTGGTTTATAGCAACATGTATTGAAATTATTAATGTTATGAGTAACTTTCAAGAAGAACTAGAAAAATATGAACTGACTCTACTAGTTAATCTTTATCTATGCTGACAGAATATTCTGATTTTCAGTGTTTTAAAACAGATATTATGAAAATATTGCAGCTTTAATTTTCATTCTCACTGAGTATTTAGTGAATCCTTACTTTGTTAGATACTAGGACATGTACTAGAGATACAAAAGTTTAACAGTCCCAGGCAGTAAAGAGCCTGTATATTTCTTTATGTTTTAGGAAGTTTGTGAGATTAGGAACTGTTAAACTTCCATGTTGCAATTCTAATTTTCTTTTTGATTGAAGTATCATTGGTATACAGCAATTCTTATTTCTTACCTTTAAACTGTTTTGCCGTTTAACCTTGCCTTTTGATGTGTGAGAGCAAATCCATTTACTGATGCTACTAATTATATAGCAAATGGTCTTTGGTGAAGGAATGATGTTGAAAGGTGGGGGTAATGTACATTTATCATCAAAGTAGCTGAGCCACAACTTTGCTCGAGCAAACTTCCACTCTTTGTCTTCATGATTCTGTAAGAGGCAAGTGGAAAAGCAACATAGGGTACGAATACACACATAGTGGGTGGTGGGGGGCAGTAAGAGAATGAGAGGGAAAGAGGGAATGTTTGTACCGTCCAAATGTTTGCACACCTTGGAGATTAAAATCTGGTTCAAGATTTGCAGTTAGTATACATTACTTAGATTTAAAAATTGGTATTTAATTTTAAAATGATACTAATTCTTAATTTTTATAATTTCGGTTGCCTTACCTACTGCCTATATTTGGTATGCTCAGAGGAGAATATAACGTTTTTAAAAGAATGAACACTTACTGCTATCAACTGGAAGCTTTTATGTAGCATTGCCACCAGCAGCTTGGTAAGCACAATCACAACCACGACATTGTATGTTCCAACAATAACGGCTCCAACAAAGGACTGCAATTCTTCTCCATAACTAAATCTTGTGACAAAGATTGCCACATGTGCTAAGGAAAAAATATACCAGAACAAAGCAAAGCAAGTGCCGATGAACCTGTAAAGATAATTACATGTCTGTTTAAAAGGAAATTAATGAAATTAATTCACAAAAATGAATTCATTAGTATCAACATTAAACAAAGAAAACATTGCTAACCCAAGAATACTTTATAAGTAAGTTTTAATCTAATAGTACAGATGTGCCTGCCTTAAACAAAGATATATGCTCAATAGGACAATAAAATATTCCTGTTTAACCTCCCTTTCTGTCATTTTTTAACACAGCAGTCTCTATGATCTTATTAATATCTAGTTTTTGCCACTCCTCTGCTCAAAAACTTCAAATAGCTCTCCATCTCCATAGCCCAAAGTCCTTACAAGGCCTGACAAGATCCTTCATGATCCCACTACCTTTCTGATCTCATCCCCTCTCCCTGGGATTCACTACATTCCATCCACACTGGCCTCCTCGCTTTCCCCTGATCATGCCAGCCATACTCCTGCCTCAGGGCCTTGGTCTTTGCCGCTCTTCCCAGCTGTCAGTTTTCTTCTTCCACATACATTCTTCATGGTTTGATCCCTCACCAGCTTTACTTGAATGTCACTTCTTTACTTGAATGTCACTTGTGGGGCCTTCCCTAGCCTCCTATCTATACCTGAATCCTCTCACACATATATCCTCCCCAGCCTAAGCTTTGTCTCTTTAGCTCTTATTGCTGCATAATATACTACATCTTTCCTTTTTCTCTTTAGTGCCTGTAACACCTCTGGAATGTAAGCTCCATGAAATAGTTTTGTTCATTGATGCTTCCTTCACTTAGCACTTAGAACAGTTCCTGGTATATAGACAGTGTTAGATGAATACTTATTATTCATTTAATCTTATTCCTTAAATAAGGTGAAAGTTCAGTAACTAATAGTTGGCACATAATAGGAATACAACAAACATGTAACTCCACACCCCTTCTCCATTTTTTTATTTAAGAAAGAAGGTAGAAATTTGTCAGCCTCACAACTGGTTGTTCAATTTCTTATGATACAGTAAATCAGAAAAAAAAGATTGTTCAGGAAGCTCTAATGACTCTCAACTCTAATGACATAAGATGTGTTAAAAATGTGAGAGCACATTTTCGCTGTAACAATGACTGACATCTAATAGTTGAGGGGCAGAGATAATGGACATCGTGCTATATACAGGCTCGACAGAGAACCGTCCTGGCCCAAATGCTCACAGTACACAGAATACCACAAGTTCCTCTGTCCAGGTGGACTGCAGGAGGGGACACAATGTACTAACGTGGGCCTACTGATTACTTATGATTCTATATATAAAGATAACTATCAAATGATTCGTTGACAAATAAGTATTTATTAAAAAAGAATTTCTTAAAGAAATTTTGAAGTTCTATTTTTGTAGGTACTAATTCATACATAACCCAACAGGGATATGTTTACCAAAATGTCTGCAGACACTCACGAATGGAAGGTATCATTGCTTTGCTGCTCACAGAAGATGCCGACACAATCCTTCTGTTCCTTTGGAGCATAGCCTTTATCATACAGTTGTGTCAGTCCAATTGTGAAAGAAAATAAAACAAGAAGGAACATCCCAAGAAATTTTCCAAAGTCTTGTAACATCTGTCCCATTGAAATCTGTGAAATACATTTCATAGGTGTTCATTAAGATAACAGGAAAACAGAAATGACCAGGCAATAAGAGGAAGACAAACACGTGACTATAACATGTATTATAACAGCTACCACTTCTGATTTTTAAAGGATAGAACAGATAAATATTTCCATATAAATATGGTTCAATATGCAGAGGAAATTCTTGGGAGTTTACAATGCTACCTATGGAAGTAGGACTAGGGGTTAAAGTCAGACTTCCTCTAGAATTTTCCTCATTATATGCAGTTATTATTTTTCAGTTGGAAATAGAGTATTTAAAAACAATCCTTCTTTAAGTTTAGTCAAATTCATGTAATTAATTAAATTCAACTTCAAACAAAATTCCTAAGCCTGACAAAGTAACATACGCCACTCATCAGTGATACCAGGTGGTAGCAATAAGCAAGTGGCCCTTGTTACTGAGAGGCAGCTAGTTAAGCAGAAGAGCTGTGCTGAACATTTCCAGGCACACCACAGGACAGTGACCTGGACTCTGCAACAGTGGAGAGCCCCAACATGCCTGCCTTGCCTGTGTGCCTGGTCCATGTGGTACTTTTCAAAGTCTTATGCTTCCCTCACTTGGACCCCTGGCAAAATTCTGACAGAAGAAACAGAGACTTAGAATCAGAAAGCTCAAAATATGTAAGAAACAGAAGAAATACATTTCCCTCTTAATCAACAATAGTTCTCACCTTGAAAAAGAAATCATTTATTCAGACTGTGAGTGCTTAGAATAAAGCCATACCATGTTAATGCCTGACAAGGGGAAGCCTGCTATCAATAGTGTTCATACCAAGTGTTAAATTATAAAAGCTGCTGACAGAAGGAAGTAATAGTAATGACAGCTTCTAGTCATTCTCCTTCCAAATCTCTCTCCAGAAAAAGCCATCATTATCTGTCTAAAAGTAATCAAGCCATTCATGCTTAAAACCCCCTTTACATGTGTGATAATATTCCAATTCCTGGCATACAGACCTTCTATTCCAGCCTAATCTATCTTTTTCAGCCTAATCTCCCCAACTGCAAACCATGGTCCAAGTAGAAGAGATGCCCCATCTTCTCTGAGCACACCATGCTTTATGGCTCTGTGTCTCTGTACATTAACTCCTCCTTTGTTCTTTGCCAGGCAAGCTTCTCATACCTTCAAGGCCAAGATCAAATGTCACTCCAGGCTCCTGCTCAGTCACACTCCAAAGTATTTTGTACATAATTGCTAAAATAGTATTTTTCACTTTATACTAATATTTATGTTTCTCTTTTCTAGCATTCTTTAAAGGCAAGACACAAGGTCAGTAAGCTCCAGGGCCTGGCACATCAATTAAATTTTGAATATGTAACTTTTATATGACTTTTTATCAAACTCTTTACAATTTTCCCAGAGGAATCATGTACTTTTATTTACCCTAGAAATTGGAGAAGGCTAGTATTATCTCTATTTTCTCAAGTGTCAGAACTGTAGCTAGGAAGAGATTCAGTGAATTGCTCAGGGTAACAGAACTAATCAATGACGGAGTGAGAATTCAATTCTTGCTTCTAACTCCTTGCAAATGCTATTCTAAAACATCACTGGGTCATTTTGATCTTAGCTGTCCCATTAAAAATTTGGAGCTGGGTACAATTAAGGATTTATTTATGTAACAATTAAGGATAATATTATGTTCTTATGTAACAGTTCCACCACACAGTAGGGTTTGTTGCACTGATAAATGAATAAATATCCAAAAAAGATGTAATTGTTATTTAATATTTTACACCACATCTTTTTGCTAACACTGTGTGAGCTGGGCCTTAAGTTTCCTGACAGGGATGGCCAAATGCTGCATTAGATTCACTCACCTACAAGCTATTAAAAACTTGCCAGGTTTTACCCCAATCTATTTAATTGGTATCTTTGAAGGCAGGGACTCCAGAATGTAGGTTTCATGTGCTACCCAGGTGATTCTGCAGCCTCACGAGTTTGGGAATCTCTAGACTACGTGACTCTAATCTTTCCTCTAGTTCTAACATTCTATGCTTCTAAAGAGAAAAATATCCATTCTCAGTATACTTCAAGATGCAAAACAATTGAAACCACTCTTTGCTCATTACAAATGACAACAATATGCCATTAATGGCATACAGGTGGTTAAATTAAATCTAGTAATTACCCAGTAAAGCCAAATAACTTACTAAGAATAAACTATGAACTCGTGTCAGACACTGTATTCACTTGCCAAGTTTTCTTGTATAATTTTTCAGGTCTGTTACAGTTAACTCTGCTAATTATAAAGGGAATAGAGGAATGGAGCTAATCATTTATATAAAGTCCAACATGTGCCAACTACTCTGCTATGCATCGTATACATTTAATCCTTACAACAGGCATAGAACCCAGAACTCATGGAGATAAAGTGATAGTAAGTCACAGAGCTGTATGGTCCCATCTTGTCCTTTCTAATTACCCAATACCAGTGTTAAAGGTTGTTTAATTCACTTGAAATGTGGATAAAAGAGGAAAAAATGTATAAATGATTAAACCTACTACCCACAGAAGTATTATAGAATAAAAGGTACTGAGGGAATCATATTATTCTGTAGCACAGAAAATGGGGAGGCAACTCAGCAGAGTGATTAAGACTTAACTCTGGGGTGAAACCATCTGTGTTGGAACCCAATTCTGCTACTTTCTTACCACCTGTGTGACCCTGTACAAGTTACTTAATGTCTCTATGCCTCATTTTTTTCCTTTGTAAAATGGAAATAAAAGAGTCTGCCTCTTGGAGAAAGACAAGTACCAAATTATCTTACTCATTTGTGGAGTGTAACAACAAAGCAAAACCGAAGGGACAAAACAGCAGCAGACTCGCAGACTCCAAGAAGGGAACAGCAGTTACCAAAGGGAAGTGGGTGAGGAGGGAGAAGAGGATTAAGGGGCACTATAAATAGCACACACAATAAAGGTAGGTCACGGGGAGGGCAGTAAGCACGGAAAGAAGGTAGTGACTCTACGGCATCTTACGACGTTGATGCACAGTGACTGCAATGGGAAGAGGAGGACTTGATAATATGGGTGAATGTTGAAACCACAATGTTGCTCATGTGAAATCTTCATAAGATTGTATATCAATGATACCTTATTTTTAAAAAGAAAGAAAAAAAAAGAGTCGGCCTCTTAGAATGGTTGTGAGGGTTAAATGAGGTAATAAATGTAAATAAAGATCTTTGAACAGTATCCATAGTAAGCACTCAAAGGTTCACTGTTATTACTATTACCACCATTATTTTAGAGTCTATCTTCATGTCTCTTTTTGTTAAAACATGTAACATTACTGACTTAGGCCCAAGAGTGATTCATGTTTGCTGAGGGATGTTAGCTGACATCCTTCACAGAAGCAGAGGAGCTAACTCAAAGAGCAGGTTGGCCTCTGGAGTCAGACTCAGATTCAATTCTTGATTCTAACACTTAGAAGTTCTGTGAACCAGTTAACCTCTCTAAGCCTTAGATTCCCCATTTGGAAATAAAAAAACTACAAGGGTTGTGATGAAAATTAATTAAATAGAAAACACTTGGCACAGTGCCTGGCCCTCACAAAATGTTCGGTAAAGGTTAGTGGTGGTTATTATTTGAATAAGCAGCTACAGCAACAGCTAGAAGATCGCCTTGTTTCTCCATCAGCTTTTTACTTTCTTCACACCAATCTGCACTTGTCTCCACCCAATCCAATTCTAACCAGTTTTTCAATTCAACATTCATTAAGTAATTACTATGGCAAGGCAGCGAGTAAAGTGCAGATGAGAAAATCAAGATATATTCCCCATCCTCAAGGAATTTTTAGTTTAATAGAAACAATATAATTTATAGTATATGACAAGCTAAATTTAAATTGTCTTACAATTAAGACAAGCTTTAAGATGTGCTTACTAAAGGTTCAAAGTATTGAGTTCATCAGATGGAGTTACTCATTTCACGCAGGAGGAGTGGAGGAACAGATTTTCAGATGGAGGTGACACGAAAGCTGGCACATATCCCCTCTCCCTGCAATGCCCCACACCCACCTCTTTTCTACTCATCTTTCCAGGCTTATTAATTCCAATGTCATCTCTTTTTGAAAGTCTTCTCTTATGCTTTAGACTGAAGTGAGTGCTCTTCCTCTGGGCTCTCCGTTATAGCATTTAGCACTCTAAATGACACTGGCTTGCTTGTCACACTCAGTATACTATGATTCCTTAAGGTGATACTGTAGCTTACTCATGTTAGCATCCCCATTGTCTAGTACCTACCAGACTCTCACTACATGTTTGTTGGATGAATAAGTAAAATTCAACAAGCAGAAAATATGACTGGGTCATTCTAAACAGGATAGTAACATAAACAATGACATGGAAGTGGGAAAGCACAGGACTTGTGTGAGATTAGCAACTGGTCTCTTGACCCAGACGGAGAGGTATCTCAGGAAGAGGCAGAGAGATGAGAATAACGAGAGATGACTAGAAAGTAAGCAGGATCAGATTGTAAAAGGCCACTTTCTAAAGCCTACCTACCACATAAGTCACATATTTAACAAATACAATCATAAAAATGTCAAGAACTAGGATAAAGGATTCAATCACTGTGGAATATAGGGTCGTTTCATATATTCCACTACTGATAGTCCTATGACTCTGACTGCCTGGGACAGTCTCAATTTAATCTGTTGTCCCAATTTTATAATTAATAGCATCCTTTTCATTCCCCAAAGTATCTCTGTTTGTATAACAAATGATCATTCTAGCTAAGGGAGAGATTTTATTATAGGTTATATAACCAGTTAAAATAAAAGCCCATAAACTTCTAAATCTGCAAAGATTTGGGAGGAAAAAATGTTAGTAAAAGGTGATAAATTTAATAACTGCAGTAATCACATAAAAACATTATCTGACATAGCAAGTTATGTACATGAAGGAAAAAAGATGCACTTTTGATGAAGTAGTTAACTTACTGTCAATTTTCTTTTTACATTTCTTCTAGTTTTATATCCATAACTGGCTCACTCTATTTTAATTAAGTTCCTTACTTATAAGCAAAATGGAAAAAAATATCATAAATTTTCTACATAAAATTATTCTACAACTTTGGTACTACTATGTAATACAAGTCTGTCATGTTAATAATACTATGTCAGAAAACAAATGTCTTTATTAAAAAATTCTTTAAGTAAAAGCCTGAAAATATGACTCTGTAGATTTTTATCTATGTTTTGCCCTTTTCCTGACAAAGTAGACCTGGATTTCTTGGGGGGAATTATACTCAAAGTACTCATCTCTTCAGACTTTTTGTAGCTCCAAACAGCCATGTGGCCAAATTCAGGCCAATGAGTTCTAAGTGGAAGTATTTGGTAAGGATCCAGGGAAAATCATCATTCTCTTGTTAAAGACAAAGGCAGCTGGCTCATACTTTCAGTCCTTTGCCGTCTGCCTTTCTCCTTATTGCTGGATGCAGACTTGATATCACGACCTGTAGCAGGGAGCTTGCAACCATGAGAACCAGTCACTCTCTGAAGATGGCAGATGACCTTTTGTCTGAGATTTGCTTTGCAATACCATATTAATTATATTTGTACTTCCAAATCCTTCAGTTCTGAGATTAGTGTATGCCAGACAATCACATGCAGATAATGGTTGCCTGGAGTGATGAGGGTAGGGGGAACACTAAATGCAAAAAGGCATCAAGAAACTTTTTGGGGTGCTGCAAATATTCTCTATCCTGATTATGGTGGTGATTAAATAAGTTTATACATTTGTAAAACTCAGCAAACTGTACAGTTAAGATGGCTTCATTTTATTGTATACAAATTATGCCTTAGTAATTAAAAAAAATCACTTACTGGACTAGGTCATAATATTTAAACATATTAACCTGCAGACCTTTTTTAAGAAATAGGAACATAATATTAGTTGGCTTCACTTCAATTATTTGTTAGTTCTATGGCATCAGAACAATATAAATTATTCTGTTGGAGAAGAAAAACACAACAGCTGAAATGACAAGTACCCACTCATGCAGTATTTGTACAAACATCTATATTTCTTTTGGGAAGAGATTAAGTCAGGAAGACCTGACTCAACAGTTTTAATAAAAGCAGATAATTCAATAAGAAATAATAATATACTTTCTCCTTTTTATCTCTTAGAAGCAATCTATAAAGAAGTTTCCAGAAACTTAGTGATATTACCAGTTGGGGGGGCAAAAATAAATAAACAAACATATGTGCATGTAAAAATACTGTTGACTCATGATTAAACATTTATAGAAGGTGTCAGTGGCCAAATTAAATGAAAAGAATAGTCTAAAATGGAGAAAAACAGACTTGAATATATTTAATGAAAAATAGGTATGATGTTAAATGAATTTAGGTAATGATAGTTTGAACACGGTAAACGAGTGTTTTTACTTCTTTCTCACAGGCTTTAATGTGATAATGTGCATGGTGAATTCCCAAAAGAGTTCTATGGAATGCAGTGTCCCAAACTTATTTCAGAGCATCTCACAGGACTTGGTTGAGGGAGTCACACTTGAGGACACACTGTTGCAGGATAACAGTACAAGCCAGATAAAACCAGGTTGCTCCTATATATATTTTCATTCCTCCATTTGGAGAAAGTAATTATGCCTTAAAAAAAAAAGATCTCCTTTAAAAATATTTAAAAAATCTAAATTGTTAGTAAATTTTGGCTTATTAAGGAAAAGTGAATATGTTCAGATTTTTAGACTTATAAACTTAGAGCATATGTACAGCTAGTCATCTAGCAGAGTTGATTCCATCTTCTAAAAACAACCAACTACTAAAATCTGTGGGGTAAATTCAACCGAAGAAAAATCCTTTCTTTAAAAAGAGACTTAGAATTTATTCTCAGACTCTCATGCTTAATAATCACATTACTTTGAATAAATCATATACTATCACAAAAGCTCAATTTCTTGGACTATAAAGTACAAAGCTGGATTACATGAACTCTGAAATGTTTTAGCTCTAAATATGATATTTCCCAACTTACTACATTTAATATTTATTAAACAAAGTGACACAATCTTTTAAAAAATACACCTTACATATTTTCAAAATCATCATGAAGTAAGAATTCTGTTTGCCTAACACCTCCTTTACATTTATCACTTAAAACTTTAAACGTGAGATTCATTTTGGTAAAAACCAGATTTTTATGTTCCTCTACTGTCTGAAGTATAACTATATATTAAACATGCCTAGGTTTATGGAGAGGGGAGAGCGACAATGGACCACATTTATTAAGTTTGAATACCTGAAAGCAATGGATTATCGTTCAGACAGAAGCAAAGTAGATGAACATTATGTGTTACCTTTTGACTGTTAATTATTTTTAAAACCAAACTTTAACATAGAGAACAATGTTCTAGTGGACAAGGAGAAAAAAATGTAGTAATATTGACATTAATAAATATTCTTTAAGAAATATTAATTATTTACCTGTAAGGGGCCCAAGATAGAGCTTGTTGTATACATAAAAAAGAGACGAAGATAACTCAGAACATTTGCAAATGCAAAAAGCCCTTCTGCGACCAGTGTAGGATGGAATGCATCCCAGTCCTTCCGATCAGCAAAATCATGAAACTAAAGGCAGGAAGAAAAAGCCAAAGGTAAATAGCTCTTTCAATTTAGGAAACAGAAACAAATATTCTGACTGTTGAAAGAAAACTGTTTTAATTATGTCTCCTTGTAGGGGATCTCCATTTATGTTTTATCAAGTTCTCTTCTTTTAATAGAAATAATGTTAACTAAATAAAAGATTTCTGTATATGTGAGGCATTATCACTCTATATAAAATGATTTTCTCAAAAATTCTTACGTTTAAAAAATTTTTTAACTTTTTATGATGAAATGTTTTCTAGTTTTTCTTAAATTCCACAACACAAATTTTTAAGTATGTTTACTGTCAATTAATTATCATATTAAATTAACCTAGCCCTTTGGCTCAGAATTCCAGAATGAATCATAAAAGTTCTTCTTCCTTCTAAATAACAAGAAAAAGAGTGCATTATTACATATAGACTTAGAGTGGCCACATGTTCCAACTGCCTGGGATAGTCTCAGATTATATACTAGTCCCTCCTGGCATAATTATTATTTCCACTCTCAAAGTGCCCTGGTTTGAATAATAAATTATATGGGCATCCTATTGCAAGAACTAAAACGACCAGTCTAAAAAAACTAAGAACATTCAACCTCTTTATTGAGCCATTTATTTACGCATGACCAATTTTTATTTTCTCAGTACTTTCACAACTCTAGTCAGTGAACATATCTAACAAATATGTTCTATACTACTGATCATTTGAAGGAAAATAGTTTTTTAATAAAGTAAAATGATGTAAGGTAACCAGTGTGCTTTTGCTATAGTCTATAAATCAGTCAAAAAAACCCCAAAATATTGTATCTTTTATAACATATGTTGAATGTGGTATCTCAGAAGAATTCTAAACTCAGGGTTTAAACAAAGATGGTTAACATACAATTGATTACTCTTTCTGGGAAGAGGGGAGCTTAAATCTTTACAGAAGTAAAATTTTAACATGTCTATATGGTTAGATTTTTGTCAAATTCTAAATTTAAAAATACAGGTATCAAAAACTGAAGGAACAAAACAGCAGCAGACTCACAGAACCCAAGAATGGACTAAACAGTTACCAAAGGTAAAGGGACTGGGGAGGGTGGGTGGGAAGGGAGGGATAAGGGGGAAAAAGGGGCATTATGATTAGCACATATAATATAGCAGGGGGGGACATGGACAAGGCAGTATATACAGAGAAGACAAGTAATGATTCTATAGCATCTTACTACGCTGATGGACAGTGACTGTAATGGGGTATGTGGGGGGGGACTTGATAATATGTGAAGTCTAGTAACCATAATGTTGTTCAAGTACTTGTACATTAATGATATCAAAAAATATATATAGGTATCAGAAAAACAATTATATTTCGATCACTTTTTAAGCTGTGGAAGATAATCATGATTTGAAGTGTTAAAAGATTATATAATGAATTCCATTCAGATAAACCTTTTCTTTAAGGCAGATATAAAAATAACTAATACTAATCAATTTAAATAACTTTGTGTTCTCATTTTAAGTATTACAGGTTAATGAGGTAAATGAACCTAGCTCAGATATAAGGAATCAGCATTTGGTAGAAAGGAAATGCCTAGCTAGACCTAGATTTAAATCCAGTCTTTGTTTCTTACTGTATGTCTTAGACAAGTTACTTAGTATCTCTGAGCTTCTGTTTTCCTTATTTGAAAATGGGGATAAGGACAGCTGTCTCATAAAATTCGTGTGAGGATAAAATGAGATAAAGTATAGCAAGCACCAACCATGGCGCCTGGCACATAATAGGTAACCAACATTTAAAGGTAATTAACATCCTGTAAACCACTGGAAAGGAAGGAAACAGTGTACACTGTTCCCTTGCACAAGGATAGGTTTAAAATGAAAATACATCAAGTAACAGATTTGGGCCAATGTCACTTTGAGTTACATAGCTAACCATGTCAGGGTTTTCCTACAAAAACTTCATTTGTACCTCCAACTGACATAGTTAATAGTCACCTTGTTGTGGGCGACCACTTTGAGGGCAAAGGTTGCCAAATAAAGTGAATTCATGACAAAACTTAGTTGATTACGAGATTCTTCTAAAAAGTCTTCCAACCCTTCATACCAGAGTCTTTTAATGTCTGACCAAATCATTCCTAAAAAAAAGGAAGGAAAAATAATCAGATAATGCTCTCTTAATTCAATAATAAACTAAAAAATACTTTCAGGGTCAAAGTATTAAATAAATAACACACACGTCAGCTATAACTTCATCCAGAAGAAAAAAATAACAACAATTTAGTAAAACGTTCTCAAAATTTGAAATAACCATAAATTTTGTATGACAGTTTCTTTCCCAGAGAAGTGTTTTAATAAGTGACATGAAGCAAGCATAGAAAATGAATAAATTAATGCTAAACACACACATTCCCCAGAGGCTCAGTTTCTTATCCTTTTCTTTTCTGTGCACTGACTGCTACAGTGTCCAGTCTACTCTAATGATTTTAAATACCATCTTTAAGTGGCTGACTTTCAAACTTAAATACCTCTGAACTCAACATGTATTTATATAATAATTAGTATCTCTAAACCTGTCTCCTAAAACTTGGCTTACTTGTATAGGTACTTGGCTACTCTCATTATCCTTACATGTACAAACTGAACTCATCTCTGCCCCCAAATTCACTGCCATTGAAGAATTCCTCATCTCAGCTAATGGCAACTCTATCCTTCTAGTTGCTCAATCCAAATGTCCTTCAATCATCCTTGACTCACATTTCTTTTAAACCAATAGCAAATCCTGTTGGCTCTATTTTAAAAATACATTTAGGAACCAACCCTTCTCACTACTTCAACTTCCAGCCACCATCCTGTCTTGCCTGGACTGCTGAAATGGCCTACCTGTTCTCCCTGTTTCTACCCTGATCTCCCTAAAATCTATTCTCAACACAGCAACCATAGTAATCTTTTTAAAATCCAAGTGTTACTTCTCTCCTCAAAACCCTGTAATAACTCCCAGAGAAGAAAAGATTAATTGCTGGTCAGAACTCTTTCTCCATGGGAATATAAACCTCATGTTATCATCTATTAAAGTGGTTTCCTTGGAAACACACTATGTTAAGAAAAATATGGAAGGTCAGCTGTGTTTAACACTGCTATAAAAACCACCGATTGGGAAACTGCATCTGGACTGAGAGATGGACTCATAGACCCTGAAAGTCTATGACTATGCACAGCCAGGACTATATAAAAACATGTTAAGAAGTAAACACAGGGGCCTCATCATCCATATGGACTTATCTCATACAACTGAATTTGCCTTTTATGGGGCTGGAACCAGTCCCAGACTTCTGTAAGAACTGACAGTTATGATGTATTTGAAACTGTCATGCTGACATACTACTGGTCTCGTATCCTTCTACAAAGCTACAAATCTGGAGCCAGGTTTGTGCCTATTGTGTCCTGTGAGTGTGAAGGGCAACAAGAACAAGATCACTGCTGCTGACTGTGCAGAGGGGGCACTGCACCTTCCCTCTTATCTCATTATACTCAGAGCCACAACCAAATGCCTTACAACGGCCATAAGGCTCCACATACCTTTCCTCTTGGACTTCACCTACCAATCTTTCCTCCTACTACTCTGGTCACAGGACTCCTTGCTTCCTTGCTGTTCTCTGAACACACAAGACTCCTGCCTTAGGTAGGGCCTCTCCAGTGGCTCTTCTCTCTGACTGGAAGTTCCTCACATAGAAACCTACTGGGCCAACTCCTACTTCACATCTTTGCTCACCACCTATTCAGATCATCCTATTTAAAATTGCAAACCCCATGCCCCGACTCCCAGTCTCCCAACTCTGTTTTGCTTCTTTCTTTAGTACTTACCACTTTTAAACACTGGATATAGTTTACTTATTATATCTGTTGTTAATTGACTATGTTCCCCCAACTTTGGGTAAACTCTTCAAGGGTAAGATACTTTGTTTTATTAACCAATGTCCTAAATGACCTCAAGAGTGCCACATATAAAGTGGGTGCTCAAAAAAATTGCTAAATGAATAAATACACACAAACAAAAAACAAACAAACAAAAAAACCCACTTTACCCTTTTTTGGTCAAAAGTACCTCCATGGTTCCTAGAATTACCAGAGAAAAACATTATAATCCTAAACAGTTTTATGATACATTCTTTCATTAAAATATATTCAAGGAAAATATAAAGTGACAAAAGAATAGAGTGTTGCAACATAACATATAGGTGAAATCAAGATAAGCCAGTCTGAATCATTCTCTTGCTTACAAGTAGGCAGAATAATTCCTTTGGGAAGCACATGAAGCATTCTTGAAACACTCTGTTCATAACACCTTAATTATACAATATTCATATTTCATGTGGAAAAACATTAAAAAATATTTACAGATATTATGACAGGGAAAACATTAAAAAAGTTCCACTTGGGTGAGCTTCTACTTAAAATTAATAGATAAAACCTATCTGAAAACATTAAACCAAATAGCCTATATTTTATTAACTCAAAATTGTAACACTAAAACACTAAACTAAGAAGAATGCTTACTATGCAATATTATGCCTAAAGAAACTTGACAAAACTTACAACAGGAGTTGGATTAGATTTTTGATTAAAAATAGGCAGACATGTGGAAGAACAGTGAGTACCACTGTCAGGAAGTTTCCATTTTCTGCCCAACACTCCCACCACAATGAAGCTAATACACTTGATGTATTTCGTATTTCTGAATTGGATTGGAAGAACAAAATGATTTAAAACTAGTATTAGCAATGAAATCACTACATAGTTCAATGTACTACATTTTAGGGCCCTTTTTGTCTTTCAGAATTAGTAACATTAGTAAGCTGTCATTCCATCACGGTGGGAATCCTCAAGGTCTGCTCCTAGGTCCTCTTTTTTCATTTTATACTTTCTCAAGTGTCTCATCCTTACCCAGTTTCTTATGTAACCTATATACAGATTATTCACACATTGCTAACTCAAGCTTAGACATCCTCTTGAGCTACAGACTATGATATTCAATTTTCTGATTGATACTTCTTTTGGGTATCTTAAAGTCTTTTCAATTTCATCCTATCCAGACCACACTTCGGATCTACCGTCTCACAAATCCCTAAACCTAGGACTCTTCCAAAATACCTGCCTTGCTTAATAATCTCCCTCTCCTTCACTTCCTATATATCTACTGATTTACCAGTACTGTTACACTGTAAATATCTCTCAAATCAGTTCCCTTCTCTTTTTTTCTACCACAACCATCGTAAGTCCCAGGTACCATCAGCTTCTATCTGCATTATTGCAACAGCCTCCTTATTGGTCTCCCTCCACCTATTCTTGCCACAGCCCTATGATCACAGCCCCAACACGGTAGCCCAGAATGACCTTTTCACAAGACAAACCTAATCATGTCACTCACCTACTTAAAAACGTCAATGATTTTTCCATTGTTCTTGGTATACCTTCAAAATTACTTAACATGAACTACAAGGCTGTCCACGGTCTGGTGCAACATCCATTTCTACAGCTTCATCTTGAATTCCACTTTCCTGGTTCTTCCTCCAGCCTTTATTCAGTCTCTTCTTTGTACCATGGCTCCCTCTAACCATGGGACCTCTGAATGTAACTTTTACATCAACCTAGATTACTTTTCTCTCCCAATTCTCCTAGTTAACTCCTATTTATGCTTTAGATCTTAGCTATTTGTCACTTTCTCAAGATAGCTTTTCCAATCTCCCTGATGAGGCAAAACACCCTGATAATATGCTTGCTCTCCTAGCTCCATGACCTTTACTTGGTGGCACTTAACATTTATAATTTTTTATTATCTGTGTGCTGCTTAAGGTATCGGTTTTTTGCCTTAATTAGCTCATAAGCTCCGTGAGTGTTAGGCCATAACTGTTTCTGCCTGTACTTGGACAAAGTAGGTATAAAGCATTTAAAAAATACATTTTTATAATAGCTGTTCTACTATATTCTAACAGTAAAAAACTAAGTAAAAAATACCATTAATATTCTGTGCACTCATCAACACATTGTTTCCTTTTTCCTACCTTGCTTTTTATAATTTAGACCTACTTTTTTCTGGAGGCTAAGGGAAAGAACAGAAAACAATGTACAAAAGTCAGGGATCATGAGTCAAAAGTCACTGCGCTCATTGTGTGCTATAATAAATTGATACAAGGAGTTCCATTAGACAAGTGGGCAAAGAATTCCTACATGGTTCCTTAGAGCAAGTTCAGATTTACATATTTAAAGAAGTCCAGATTGATCTAATTACATAATAGGCTTAGAAGACATCCTCAGCAATGTTTATTCAGATCTAATTGTTTCAAAGCCAAAACCGTGCTGAGAAAAGTAAAATAATTATTGCCTTACTTTACACTACACTCTTTTACTGAGGCAGAATATGATTAGAAAATTAATCACACTGTACGTGTGTGCATGTGCATGCTTGTGATGTGTGCTCAATACTGTTATTAAAACAGGACCATTATGATTAAAAAGGAGCAGCCAATTTTACCGTTATTATGAAATTCAATGAGAGCAGCAATATTTCTGCTGTCCAAAGAGTGATATGCTTTGAGTTGAATTAGTTTCTACTCACTAAGAAATATAAACTTTTATTTAATCTTCTATAGATGTGAGTAAACTGAATCTTCCTTACAAAGCAAATATTCTTTCTTTCTCACTACTATTTAAATAATGTTATAGATAAATGACATAAAATTTCCTTTTTATGACTATGGTATATATAACAATCTTTCAGAAATAGTTTCAATGTATAGAGGTAAAATGCTTCTTACAGAATCCTTTCAGCCTAGTATTGTTTAACTTACTCAAACAACAGTATAAACAAATTTCACATTGGAAAGATGTACAAAAATGTAATTTGGAACTATGTACAATAGGGTATAACCTATTTCCTAAATTAAAATATTAAATTTTAGATAAGATAGAAATAGAAGAAACAGGAAAATATTAACAAGAAGAAATTATTTAATTATATTTAACCAAGAGTTTGGATATATATTATTTTTACTTTATTGACCTAATTTTAAACATTAATGCATCATGGACTGAATACTTCTAATAGTAAAACTGTGAATGAAATCAAGTTACTTGACATTAACTAATTTCCAAATAAAAATCCCAAAATATGTGAATTATTTTTATAGCTAAAGGAGCAGTAAAAGTGAACACTGTACATTTTTTAGCTCTTCTCAAATTATTTAATAATTTAAACAATCAAGAACATATTATTTAGTGAGTGCTTTTTACCAAACAAAAGACTAAATTTCATATCTTTTTACTCTATAGCAAATAGTAGAGATAGGTAGGAAATTCTGAGGTTAAAAATAAGGTTGAAAATCCAGATGGAAATAAATAAAATGTCACTAAAAGATGACAAATAATGAGTTTATACTTTAACTCCCCACTCTCCTTCCCCCACCCCTCACCCCCACCCCTCACCTCTACTGCCAAGAAAAATAGGGCAAGGGCAGTAAAAACTGCAGAAGGTCATTAAAAATGTTTATTATACAGCATAATGCTTATAAAAAACAAGTTTTAGAAAATAAAATGTCTTGTATTAAAAGAAAGGAAACCTGCCATTTCTAAAGAGATTTGGCTACCATACAGAAAACTGATTTATAGAGTGAATCACCAGGGAACCATTTAAATAATGCTTGTACAATAGAGAGAAAGTAAGATGTAACAAGAAAGTTCATAGGTCATTAAAAGGAAAACTAATGATATAATAAAACAAAATAGTTAACTATTTAAATGCAACCAAGTATAAAATGTATTACATTTCAAAATACCTAAGAAAAACGTTCATGCTCTTATACCAAAAAAGCATTCATCGGCAAAATTTGTTTTTGTTTAACAATTATGAACAATTTTAGAGACTGAGATATAGAATTTTTAACTTCCATGTAATTAAGTAATATTTAATAAGAGACCAGCTTCTTTATCATGAAGTTCTAGAACATAGAGCTTAACAAAATTGTTAGTTAAATCTTCAATGATCATGGAAGTGTTCAAATTCTTGTGGTAAACAGTGTAAAATTACAAATTGAATGCAGATGTTTATAATGCCACCAAGCAAGGGAGAATTAATTGACTAGCTAAAGGCAGAAACTTTTGAACTAATTTGATACTTACCAATAATCCATAGTATAAGGAGATAGTCTATTCTTTCAAGAGCTGGCCCCATTGTGTTTTTCTTATCCTCATTGTAGACAAGAGAGTATAGGTTTAGCAATAGCAGGAACGTGAAATATGATGCTCCATGAATAATAAATTTCATAAAAGGAGTGTGAATGATTCTGCCAAACTGAGATTTGGGAGCTATCAAATAACAAAGTGACAAGACTGGCCAAAAGATGCCAACTGTCAAAACAGTCATTATCTTCTTACAGGTGGGCTTACGTCGGTAACCTGACATCTGTCCAAACCAAACAGTATTCAGAAACTGCTGGCAGTTAGACTGGGACACAAACTGAAAAGGACATACATACAAAAAAATTAAAATAAAACTTATAAATATGATCTGATAATACCATTATTTAACCGATATTCAAAGTCTTAATAGTGTAACATCAATTCTATATATTCCACGTGGTTTTTTTTCCTTACATGTTTTAAGAGTGTAGAGGTTAAGAGCATAGACTTTGGAGCCAGATCACCTAGATTCAAATCCAGGCCCTGCCACTTACTAAATGACCTTGAGCAAGTTTTTAAACCTCTCTAAGCCTCAAATCCCCCACCTATAAATGGGGATAATAATAGTATCTACTCATAAATTTGTTATAAATGTAAATCTATTAGAATATTGCCTGGTTCATAGCATGCGCTACATAAGTATTGAGTATTACTGGCTTGTTTAGCCATTTTGTACCATTTAATTTATAAAAACTCATAAATAATGTTTATGAAATTTCCAAGTTAACAAGCACACACCATAAAGAAACTTCAGTTTAGAAAAACTAGTGATTTCAGTTTCTAGAAACCATGATGACAACATTGCAGAGCAGTCAAGGTCTAAATCAGACATATATATATGTTCCACGAAAACACTCAGAATTTCTTAAAATATATAAAAGATACTCTTAGATTTGCTTAAAAATGAACTCTGTGTGAGAAGGAAAAAAATTCCCAAATAAGAGGAAAATTCTAGTTCAAGTACAGAAATTAATTTACCAAAGTTTACTACACCTCTTAGTTTACAAATTTCAGAAGTAGTATTTCCCAAACACAATGCTCATGCTGTGAAATAACAACTTAAGGATTCTGGTATCTCTGGATACAATAATGTGATCAGGTTTGAAATGACCAAAGTAAAACAAATGGTCATAGTATCACTTAGATATCTAAATAGTATTTGGTTAATCTTCTGTTTTAAAATGACTTATACTGAGATAGAATATAACTTGCAGAATACAACACTACAGTAAAATGAACTTTTTTATCATTGATGTTTATTATGCTTATAATCATCAGGGAATATCCTAATACACTTTTTCTTGGCAGTTCAGGCTATTCAATCCTTATTCTGCTCAAATTCCAGTGTTCTTAGGGAATCTTTCTTTTTTAAAGTTTTTTTAAATTGGAATATAGTCGATATACAGTACTGTATCAGTTTCAGATGTACAACATAGTGATTTGATAATTATATACATTACTAAATGCTCATCACAGTGCTATCACCTGTAACAATACCAAGATATTACAACATTATTGGCTATATTCCCTATGTTGCACTTCCACTCCTATGACTAATTTATTTTATAGTTTTGTAATTAAAGTTTCTACCTCTTTATCCCCTTCATCTTTTCAACCCATACTTACCTCCCTCCCTTATGGTAACCAACAGTTTGTTGTCGGTATTTATGGGTCTATTTTTGTTTGTTTTGTTTTTTAGATTCCACATATAAATGAAATCATATGGTATTTGTCTTTGTCTGGCTTATTTCACTTAGCATGATACCCTCTAGGTCCATCCACATTGTTACAAATGGCAAGGCTTTTTTTTTTTACAGCTGAGTAATATTCCATTGTGTATATGAACCATATGTTCTTTATCCATTCATCTATCAATGGGCACTTGGGTTGCTTGTGTATCTTGCAATAAACAGGTGTGCATGTATCTTTTTAAATTAGTGATTTTGTTTTCTTTGGGTAAATTCCCAGAAGTGGAACTGCTGGCTTGTATGGTATTTCTATGTTTCATTTTCTGAGGAACCTCCATACTGCTTTACATAGTAGCTGTACCAATTTACATTCCCACCAACAGCATAAGAAGGTTTCCTTTTCTCTACATCCTTGCCAACATTTATTTCTTGTCTTATGGATAGTGGTCATTCTGACTGGTGTGAGGTGATATCTCACTGTGGTTTTGATTTGCATTTCCCTGATGATTAGTGATGTTGAGCATCTTTTCATGTACCTGTTGGACATCTGTACATCTCTGAAAAAATGTCTATTCAAGTCCTCTCCCATTTTTTTAATTGGTTTCTTTGGAGTTCAATCATATGATTTCTCTCTGTATTTTAGATATTAGCCCCTTATCAGATCTATCATTTGCAAATATGTTCTCTCATATATAGTAGGTTGACCTTTCATTTTGTTAATGGTTTCCTTTGCTGGGAAGGAGCATTTTCATTTGATGTAGTCCCACTTGGGAAATCTTAATTTGTCCCTCAAGATAAACTACCAGGAGAGAAATAGCTTTTCCTCCTACTAACTACCCTGTTTAGTAATATTCCAAACTAAGTGGTTTCACCCTTCCCCTAAATACCAAAGCAATCTCAGGACTGACAGCTGTCCTTGCCATCCCTCCATATAATGATGATTTAGGTAACAGTAATGTTAAATATGTAATTGGAAGAACAAAATTTCAATTGAAGTCTAAGTCTGTGGTGGTTTTATGCATGGACACAAATTCTTCCATATTCCTCTTGTCACAAGGTTCCCTTCCCTTCAATTCAATAAGCTTGTGATTGCTTTAACCAGTAGATTCTGGAAGAAGTGATGCTATGTGACTTCTGACAGGTTTTAAAAGGCCATCCACCTTGTTGGAGGATCAGTTGCTTTTGGAGCCATAAACTGCCATGTAAAAAGTTCTACTACCCTGAAGTCACCATGCTGTGAGGAAGCCCAGGCTACATACAGGCACTCTTGACAGTCCTCAGAGGCTTCCCTGGCCATGTCCTCACAGCCAACCCACCACAATGGCCATGCCCCTTCATAATTTCATTGATGTGTTCTAAGGAAGCCCGCCTTATATGAACTCACACACCTGAGTACCCAGCCCACTCAGAGCTTTCTGTTCAAGCCCTCAGCTGCTGCTGAGGCACCAGATATGTAAGTGAAGAAGCCTCCCAGTCATTTGAGTTTTCTCAGCTGGGACCCAAAGCAGTGCAGCAGAGACAAATCATCCTTGCTGTGCTCTTTCCTAATTCCTGACCTACAGAATCCAAGAGCATAATAAAATGACTATGAAATTATTGTAAAATGATTACAAAGTATTATGCCACTAAATAACAGGGTAGTTTGTTATTCTGGATGGATTACCTAAACAAAATCTACCAACTATTTCTAGTTTAGAAAACGAATTTACATTTCCATTCATCCTTAAAATTACAGCAGATATTCCTTTCAACTAAAAGTATTACTAATACTGAAGATTAAAGATGGTGGCATGAGAGGAGAGACAGAGAACTCCTCCCAAAACTACATATAATATGAAAATATAGTTAATACAACTAATCTTACAAGAGCAGTAAGAAAGAAGGCTTCACCAGACTGCATACACCTGGAGAACAGAGTGGACCTCATGAAACAGGGTAATGCACCAAAGCCTTGATTTGGCGGGATCCAAGCCCTTCCCCCATTGCAGCTCACCAGCGGGTGGAGGAGAAACAGAGTGGGGAGGGGGGTGGAAGCCTAGGACTGCTGAACACCGAGCCCTGGAGATCTGCTTTGGGAGCACAAATCTACATTGCATGGTGCTCTGAAGATTAGTGGGGTTGCAAAGCTAAGACAGGTGGAACACTTGGAGAGACTGAGATAGGAACGGTGGGTGGTCTGAAAGCCTTCCTAGCAGCTAAAGGGCTGCTGAAGGGGTGGGGATTGCAGAGCTTCCTGCACAGGAGAAGGGATAGGTGGACAAGGTTGTCTGGGTGTGCTCTGCCCAGCAGGTTGGGAACTTTCAGGAGCTTTAGGTGCTCCATCCCCTTGGCTGGCTACTCAGCTCCGAGGCCCCCTGCTGTGACACACAGCATGCTGCGTCTTCCTCTTGGCCTGCTGACACCAGCTCACAAACCGACAGTCCCTGCCCTGTTACCAAGCCAGCCAGAGGGAGGCCCTGCCTACAGCAGCTACAAATGCAAAGCACAGAGGCTTACACCTGTGTACTTGCCCACTGGTTCTGACCGTGGAGACAGGCACTGCAGCTGGGAGGCAGGAAACAGCTCTTTCCTCCCCTCAGGCACCAGCGCAACACCCCTGTGACACAGACATCACTCCAGGGGCTGAGGAGCTGCGGAGACTAGAGCTTCTGGGCACTAGAGTGCACCACATACAAATTTAAACATCAAAGGAACTTGGTTCAAACCATAAATCTCACAAACACCAGAAAAAGGCCCAAGGGAAACTGAACTCATCAATCTTAGTTCAAAATAAAAATCAACAACATGCTCATGGAGGTACAGAAAAATATTCAAGAACTTAGGGATGATTTAGGATGATTCAATCATTAAGAAATTCAGTATCTGAAATGAAAAATAAAATGAAGGGATTTAAAAGCAGATTATATATAGTAGAAGAGACAGTAAATGGAATAGAAATTAGAGAAGAGGAATACAAAAAAGGTGAAGCACAGAGAGAAAAAAGGATCTCTAGGAATGAAAGAATATCAAGAGAACTATGTGACCAATCCAAATGGAACAATATTTGCATTATAGGGGTACCAAAAGAAGAAGGGAGAGAAAAAGGGATAGAAAGTCTCTTTGAGGATGTAATTGCTGAAGACTTCCCCAAATTGGGGAAGGAGATAGTCTCTCAGGCCATGGAGGTGCACAGATGTTCCAACACAAGTGACCCAAGGAAGACAACATGAAGACATAATAATTAAAATGGCAAATGCCAAGGACAAGGACAGACTTTTAAAAGCAGCTAGAGAGAGAGAAAAGATCACATACAAAGGAAAGCCTATCAGGCTGTCATCAGACTTCTCAACAGAAACCTTACAGGCCAGAAGGGAGTGGCATGATACATTTAATGCAATGAAGCAGAAGGGCCTTGAACCAAGAATACTCTACCTGGCAAAGTTATCATTTAAATTTGAAGGATGGATTAGACAATTTTCAGATATGCAAAAGCTGAGAGAATGTACCTCCCACAAACCATCTCTACAGTGTATTTTGGAGGGACTGCTATAGATGGAAGTCTTCCTAAGGCTAAATAGCTGACACCGGGGGAAATAAAACCACAGTAAAGAAAGTAGAACAATTAATTACTAAGCAGATGCAAAATCAAATCAACTACCCCAAAAGTCAATTAAGGGATAGAGAAAGAGTACAGAACATGATACCTAATATATAAAGAATGGAGGAGGAAGAAAAGGGAAGGAAAAAAAAGAACCTTTAGGTTGAGTTTGTAGTAGCATAGTAAGTGAGTTAAATTACACTGTTAAGATAGTAAAGGGATTACCTTTGAACCTTTGGTAACCACAAATCGAAAGCCTGCAATGGCAATAAGTACATACATATCAATAATCACTGTAAATGTAAATGGTCTGAATGCACCAATCAAAAGACACAGAGTAACTCAATGGATAAAAAAACAAGACCCATCTATATGCTGCCCCTAAGAGACTCACTTAAAACCCAAAAACATATACAAACTGAAAGTAAAGGGATGGAAAATGATATTTCATGCAATTAATAGGGAGAAAAAAGCAGGAGTTACAGTCTTGTACCAGACAAAACAGACTTCAAAACAAAGAAAGTCACAAGAGACAAAGAATGACATTACATAATGATAATGGGGTCAGTCCAATAAGAGGATATAACTATCATAAATATCTATGCACCCAACACAGGATCACCTACATATGTGAAACAAACACTGACAGAATTAAAGGAGGAAATAGAATGTAATGCATTCATTCTAGGAGACTTCAACATACCACTTACTCCAAAGAACAGATCAAACAGACAGAAAATAAGTAAGGACACAGAGGCACTGAACAACACATTAGAAAAGATGGACCTAACAGACATCTACAGAACACTCCACCCAAAAGCAGCAGGATACACATTCTTCTCAAGTGCACATGGAGCATTTTCAAGAAGAGATCATATACTAGGCCACAAAAAGAGCTTCAGTAAATTCAAAAAGACTGAACTTGTACCAACCAGCTTCTCAGACCACGAAGGTATGAAACTAGAAATAAATTAGGCAAAGAAAATGAAAAAGCCCACAAACATATGGAGGCTTAATAACACGCTCCTAAAGAATCAATGGATCAATGATTAAATAAAAACAGAGATCAAGCAATATCTGGAGACAAATGACAACAATAATTAAACATCGCAAAATTGTGGGACGCAGCAAAGGCCACCATCAGCAGAACAAAAGTCATCCTACAGTATGGGAGAATATATTTGTAAATAACATATCTGACAAGGAGTTAACATTCAAAATATATAAAGAACTCACATGCCTCAACACCCAAAAGCAAATAACCTGATTAAAAAATGGGGGAGGAGATGAACATACTCTTCTCCAAAGAAGAAATTCAGATAGCCAACATATACATGAAAAGATGCTCCACATCACTAATTATCAGGGAAATGCAAATTAAAACTACAATGAGATATCACCTCACACCAGTTAAGATGGCCAACATGGAAAAGACTAGGAACAAGAAATGCTGGCGAGGATACGGAGAAAGGGGAACCCTCCTACACTGCTGGTGGGAATGTGAACTAGTTCAGCCAATGTGGAAAGCAATATGGAGGTTCCTCAAAAAACGAAAAATAGAAATACCATTTGACCCGGGAATTCCACTCCTAGGAATTTGCCCAAAGCAAGCAAGATCTCAGATTCAAAATGACATGTGCACCCCTATGCTTATTGCAGCACTATTTACAATAGCCAAGATATGGAAGCAACCTAAGTGTCCATCAGTAGATGAATGGATAAAGAAGATGTGGTACATATACACAATGGAATATTATTCAGCCATAAGAAAGAAACAAATCTTACCATTTGCAACAACATGGATGATGGAGGGAGCTAAAGGGTATTATGCTCAGTGAAATAAGTCAGAGAAAGACAAATACCAAATGATTTCCCTCATTTGTGGAGTATAACAATGAAGCAAAACTGAAGGAACAAAACAGCAGCAGACTCAGAGACTCCAGGAAGGGACTCGTGGTTACCAAAGGAGAGGTGCTGGGGACGGTGGGGTGGGAGGGAGGGAGAAGGGGATTGCGAGGAATCATGATTGTTGCACATGGTGTGTGGGATCACAGGGAAGACAGTGTAGCTCAGAGAAGACAAATAGGGATTCTGTGGCATCTTACTACACTGACAGACAGTGAGTGCAATGGGGTTTGGTGGGGGGACTCGTTAATAAGGGTCAATATAACCACATTGTTTTTCTTGTGAAACCTTCATAAGAGTGTATATCAATGACACCTTAAAAAAAATATTACTATTACTTCTTGTTTCCTGTCATCTTCTTTAGAATGGAACATTTGGTTAACCTCTGTGAGTTATTCAGGGATATATATATATATGTAAATACGTATATCATTAGGTAACTGCCTCTTAGTTTTTTCTTCTCCAACTGGGATTATCTTGGTTCTTTCCACCTTTCTTTAAGGTTATTTTTTCAGTCACTTAAGTTGATTTTGTATCTTGTTCTCTGTTTATTCTATCAATTTCTCATATTTCATGTCTATTTAAGGTTGTGGAACACAAAGTATATAAATTAACTTAGTAGTTAATTTAGTCAATAAGATCTAGTCAAAATGTCTATTAAAGGAAGATTACATCAGCATTCCTATATTCTCTATTTGTAGTTATACCCATAAGGATTATATTCCTTTTTAAGGCCACACAGATATGTTGTTGGTCTATAATATTATAGTTACACTGTTCCAAATTCTTCTTGAATTTTTTTTTCCTACTAAAATGTGTTACCTTAAGAACCTTTGAATACTAGAAAAAGTATAGGATTTGGAATCAGAGATCTGGATAAGCAATATACTATCTAGGTAATCAGAAAATGAACATCTTAAAATTTCTGTATCAATTTCTTGAGTCACAAAGCTATTGTGATGCTCAAATTGTCAACCAAGATAATTAAAAATTTTTGCTTCTAGAAGGTCCTGTATCTGGCCTTCTACTATTACCTATTTTGGACTCCATTTTTTATTTTATTTTTTATTAATTTTGTTATCATTAATCTATAATTACATGAAGAACATTATGTTTACTAGGGTCCCCCATTCACCAAGTCCCCCCGACAAACCCCATTACAGTCACTGTCCATCAGTGTAGTAAGATGCTATAGAATCACTACTTGTCTTCTCTGTGTTGCACAGCCCTCCCCATTCCTCCCCCCCACATTATACATGCTATGGGATCCATTTTTATATCAATATAAATTTGATAAGCAAGTTTTATTGCAAGATCTATGTTGATAATAAAAATAATGGGTCTTAGTAGAGGTATTACCTTAAAAATATCATTCACCATACTATTGACTGCATGTTATTAACTACACATAAACATCCATATTTAGTAAATCATCTCAAAAAATGAAATTTAAAATGGATACCTTCCTTCTTCAAGTTCCTGAATCATGTGCATGTGTGTGTATGGGGAGTAGAAATAGGTACTTCCCTTAATAGGAAGGGATGATGCCAGAAGAGCCAGATTCAACTTAGTTATATCATGCACCTCTCCACTTTGGGTTTCACAATGAATTAACAAATAAGAATCAAGAAACATAATATCTAGTATTTTATTTTTAAACAGAATTGCACTATTAGTATAATCAGATTGATACAACAAAGACAAGATGGAAACTTCATTTTGAAGGTGCTTATATACACGATCTCACCTGTGTAGCTATGACTGTAGCAAAAACATTAACATCCATATTATTATTATTATTATTAAAAATAATACTAACTACCATTTATTAAGCACTTGCTTAATGCTAGTACTCATTGTACTAATCTCTAATACATACCCTTAGTTAATTCTTAAAATAAAGTTCAGACAGATGTAGCAAATTTCCCGAGGAAACAGTTTTTCTGAAGCAGCGTTAGGATCTCAGTCTAGATGTGTCACTCCAAAGCCTTTGCTCTAAGCCACTAGACTACTGTGCACAAAATAATTTGTATATGTCACAGAAAAACACATACCTCTTTTTGGTTATATTTGATAGCAAGTTTTAGACGACTTAAATTCATTCTTTCTTCTAGTAATCCCCGTTTGTCAAGAGGTTCTTCTCTAGATGTATGGTTTAGTATAACTTCCAATTCACGTGAATTTCGGGCTTGTGCAAGTAAATCTTTAGCAAACATTTTACATTGCCGTGCTAGTTCCTCATAATCATTCCTGCAAAATGCAACAGTGTACTGTAAGAAATGTCATTCCTACCTTCTAATTAAGCTGTTTTCACTAGAAAATTTCTTACTGAGTAACCTTTTATTTCTGATAGTGCTATATTAAATCTGAAGTCATTCTGTGGTGATAGTTAAAGGTACCTAATAGTACATAAATTCTTCACAGCTTTGGGGAAAACCATAACACAATTATGTTCCCTGTGTTCATACTGATAATCTTAGATGTGCACAATGTTTCCTCATATATAATGATATTCCTACAAATTCTGATTATATTTGTCAACCAGTTCTTCACTTAACTCATTTGCCCTTATTCTCTGTAAATTTGGTATAAAACTTCCTTTTATATTACTTATCTGAACAATAGATAATACTATTTTAATGCTATCCAATAAATATTAGAATTTTTAACTAGAGGTTTTTAAATAATAGTCAACATGTTTATGCTACTTCTGATATTAAAATACATAGTATTTGGATTCACTTTTAAAGTGCTCACTTGAATAAAATTCAAGTTAGAAAGGTACTGAAACATGACTAGTACAGAATTCTCTTTCAGAATCACTGTTCCTTGAAATTTAAGATCTAACTGTTAAAGGCAGATCTAAATCAATCTGTGAGGTACTAAGATGTTTCAGTTGATAATTCTTTTTAAAAATATCAATTACAATTGAACTTATGTCTGAGTTTAATAACTTAAGAATGAAGTTAGAAATAAATCATTATGAGTTACTTGGGGTCGGACTTCAAAAAATTATTTTTTATTCAGTTTTTATTTTTCTTTTTCCTTACAGGGAAAGGAAGGGAAAAAATAGGAAAATTTCCCATTGATTAATTTTTCTATACTATGGGGTTTTCCATGAACTAGATGCATAAGACTGTAACTCAAAGAATTAAAACTTTCCCAAGAAGTTAACATTTTTCTCATCCATTCTTTATATTTACAATGTAACCAATACTACCTAAGAATAAGTAGTTGGATTTCTTTAACAAATGAAATATTACTTGCTTCTTAGTCTAGGAATCTAATTGCAATGGGAACATTCATCAAATCTAATTGCAATGTAGAAGATTCATACTACAAAGATATCCTATCTCTAGATAAACACTGACAGATCACTAGATTCAAAGGCAAAACTGAAACTAATTAAGCTAATTTTCTTAATCTAATTTGCTTAATCTTTAGTAGGTTATTAAAGACTATTAAGTGGGTACATAATTTAGGTGGAAATACAGTAAACTAGAAACCAAGAGTACTATGCTCTAGTTACAACTCTGCTCCTACTTTCAATGTCAACTCTGCTTCTAATTAGATCCTAGTATCAGTAAGACATCTAACCTATACAGGTCACTTACTTTCTCTGCCTATAAAAACAAGGACATTGAAGGAAATGGATTCTCTGAGCACTTCAAATCTAACTTTATTATCCTATGATTACAACATAATCAGAGCAATAGCTTAAAATTCTTTTTGGAAGGAGTTGAATGAATTCTATTTTATATAGTAATTTAGAATTCCTATTATGAGATTATAATAGAAAATTCTTCATATTTAAAAGAAATAATTTATTAACAGCCTCATGTGCTAATAAAGTTAGAAGAAGCAACAAGTTACATTTTAACGATGTCTTCTGCATTCATCAGAGTATATACTTGATGTCATAAAATGTTTAAATAAACTTTAATTTATCCAAATTAGAGACTACTATGAAAACCTATATGCTAAGAAGCTGGAAAACCTAGAAGAAATGGACAACTTCCTAGAAAAATACAACCTTCCAAGACTGACCAAGGAGAAACACAAAATCTAAACAAACCAATTACCAGCAAAGAAATCAAAGTGGTAATCAAAAAACTACGCAAGAAAAAAACCCCTGGGCCAGATGGATTTACCTCAGAATTTTATCAGACATATGGAGAAGATATAATACCCATTCTCCTTAAAGTTTTCCAAAAAATAGAAGAGGAGGGAATACTCCCAAACTCATTCTATGAAGCCAACATCACCCTAATACCA